CTTGCTTGTCTATTTGGTTGGCTGCTTGCTTGCTTGCTGGCTGGCTGGCTGGCTGGCTTGCTTGCTTGCTTTCTTGCTTGCTTGCTTGCTTGCGTGCTCGCTCGCTTGCTTGTTCGTTTCTTTTGGCATGTTTTTGGCATGCCTGTTTTTTTTGGTGATTTTGCCAGGGTTTTTTGAATGCAGAGCATGGCACGCTGTAAGCGCAATTTATCAGATTGCTTCTTGTTTGATGCATTTTGAATGTTGGCTGTGGGGTTTAGTGTTTTGAAGCAGGGCGCCAGTGGGCAAGTTGTGGGGAAAACTACTCACATGAGAACGTGAGACTTTTCGGGTTGGATCTTCAGTGCTTGACGCGTAGCTTTGGATTTGGTTGCGGCGGCACACTTCAAGGTGAAGAATCGTAGTATTCTGGGGGCCTATGGAAGCCTATTGGTTGCACCTTTTTTTCTTGCCGCGGCCACACCACGGCATTGGAAGGGCTCACGACGCCCCAAATCACAACGGCGCGCCAAAGGCGGCTTGCTCTTTGCCTTGTTGGCCAGCATCGGTGCATGTCGCAATATTTTGCGGCTGGGTCAATGAGTCGATGTCATGGCCACACTTTGTTCTGCATGCGATGGGGCCCGCCGCTTGAGGTGGTGACTTCCGCTGCCAACGTCCTGTGGAGCTGCTATTTGTCCAGTAAGTCGGCCCCGTGAGCCGAGGGGTGTCCAGTAAGTCAGCCTCATCCAGAGGCATGTCCAGCGGCGCGCGCCGATTTGACGGATGGAAACAAGGAGCCACATGGGGCGGGTGGTGATGGCATCAGGTTGCCAGCGAGTTTTTTGGTTCGCGGGGGCGCTTTCTCTTTCTGTGTTGCTGCTCGCTGATTGTGTTGTGAATTGCTTCCTGCAGTATTTGAGCGCCACGGGCAAAGGTGATGGCCAACTCAAGTGAACCGTGATAGCAACTTGGCACATCAGGACCAGCCTGCACCTGCTCACCATCATGCCCACTGAAGCCAGGGCGGTCAACAACTTGTTTTTTGCATGCTAGAGTACAAGTGCATTCCGATGGTTGCTAAGAGGATGCAGAGCACCAGGAGACACGAAACAAAGAACGCCACGTATGTCGGTGTCCACTTCTTTGGGAATTCAAAAACTGTGTCTTGGCATTCTCAGGAAACACATACATAATTCAATTACAGGCACAGAAAGCTAGAGGCGGTGTGTCTGCTTTGGACTTCCGTGTCACGCCACCAGTCGCAAGCTGTCATGGAATGTTTTGTTTTTTTCACAGCAATGGGGTCCTTTCAAATCAATGATAGGTTCTCCAAATCTCACAAGATCTGTTTTCTTTATGAAATACCCCGGGCTCGATTTTGTCATTGACCAACTCTATCATCATGTTTGTCTTGTTTGCAGGGGATGTCAGTGATTTCCCTTCCACCAACTAACAGAACCACCAACTTTTTCCCGGAAGGACAGGTCTCCTTCAACCTCTTGAACCTCCCAAGCCGAAGCGCACCTCCAAGCTACACGATGGGTCAAGATGATTCCGCCAGAAAAAAGCCGCAGGTTTTAGTCCTGGGGCAACCCATTTTGGGGTTTTGACTTGGGGTTGCCCCACTTTTGACCCACCACCCACCCCCACCTCGATAGCCGAAGCCTCAAAAGGAGACCGGGGGCCGCCAAGCCGCCGAGAAGTCGCCCGGGGCATGTCGCGAGGCCCAGCTGCGACGCGCAGCTGGGGGACCTGGTGGCCGGAGCGGAGCTGCCGGGGACGCGGGCAGCAGATGGCGGGTCAAAACCCAGGAAAAACACCCGGGTGGGCATCAAAATGGGCGGCAAGTGGACCACAAAACCCAGGAAACTGCAGGTGAACCTCAACATTTCGGTGGCAAATGGACCACCTCATCATGCACCCCAACACGGAGCCATATGCCCAAATGACCTTAGAGTTGGGACGGGAAGGAGGCGTGAACTGGAAAAGAAAACGCAAACCCGAAGGTTGACAGATGCATGTTTGCTGAACACCTGGCAGACCCAAAGATGCACGATACAGTCATCCAGCTAGGATCTGCAGCTTCTAGCAGCGCATGACTTTTGTAGCCACACGCACATGACCCCTTAGTCCTTTGGCATCTCTTCCGGCCTCACCTTACTCTGCGGACCACTTGGCGGGAAGTCAAATTTGTTGGGACCGAGCTTTGTGTTTCTTTTTTTCCCCAGATAGCTGAAAGCTATAGGGGTTCTAACTTCTAATAAAGAGGCGAAAGTGATCTGCGAGATTGACTGCAGGGTGCTAGGGGGCATGCAGTTTGGGGTGCTGTTTGAGGTGCTGGTGGCGGTGCGGGCGCAGTTTTGCGAGATTGATGGCCGGGTGCTAGGGGGCATGCAGTTTGGGGTGCTGGTGCAGGTTCTGTTTCGGGGTGCTGGTGCAGGTGCTATTTGTAGGGGGCATGCAGTCTGGGGTGCTGGCGGGTGTTGTTGACGGTGGTGGATCCATCCTAGATGATGCGTGGCTGTGTCATCATGACGCTGGCTGCATCATCTTGATGCTGTTCGCACCATCGTGGTGCTGTCGAACTCACCAGGACGTCGTCGCGGCCTTAAATGTAGCGTGGCCAGCGCGTAAAGGTTCGTGGCTGGTGCCTCAGCATGGTGCCTTCAGCATGATCATGATGTTGTCAACATCATCATGTTGCAGGTGGACCACTAGGATGCTGCGTCAGGGTTCTAACCGTGGTATGCTATCTGGGGTCTATGCTGGTGTAATTTTATTCTTTTTTCTTCTGAAACTAGAGAGGCGAGTGGCAGCTCGGAGCGGCGACTCGACTTCCCTTCTGGTATGTTGCCCAGGCTCCTGCCCTCGGTGGGCGCCGGGGGCCCAGGTGCGTTGAGCCGATGGGCCGGCGGGTGGCGGGGCCTGTTTGGATGGCGCCTTCCGAAGGGAAAGGGTACCCAGCAGTGTCTTTCTCTCCCCCTTCTTTGGTCTTTTGGCATGTGGCACAAACCTGCCGGGCCGTGCGGGTGGAAGAAAACTGGATCGGCCAGGTGGGTACTTGGTCCTGGGGCAACGAGTCCTTCGGCACGGGCCCCACTGTGAGGGGTGCGACAGAAGCAAGGGAGTAGCTCAGTCTTTGTTCTTCTTCTCCGAGGCATTGGTGAGAGTTAGCCTTGCTGGCAAGAAGTTGTGGCGGTTTGAATGGCAGCTTCAGCTGAGCCAGAATCAAAACCCAGGTAGATGAAGGTTGGTGATGGACAATCCCAACCATAAATAGCTGCGACCGCCTTCTTAATTCCGTACATGGTTCCGGGTAGACCATTTTAGCACAGGGTTTTGATTGTGAATCAGCTTCCTTCGGCGTTGAACGACTCGCTTAGGCACCGAGAGGGAATGGGGAATGGGGTCCGCCTGTTGCGACATTTTAGTCCTGAGCTTCTGCATTCTTCATCCGGTTCGTGTTCTCTCCGCTTTCGCCAAAGAGACCAGCCCCTCACCTTGCTGAGGTTCCACGCCTGAGGCTGCCAAGGCGTGCACTTCAGCTTCCGCCTGCGGGAAGGGTGCAGATGTCCCGAATGCGGACCCTTTGCTTGGTGCATTTCGGTTTCTCTCTGCCCAGCGGGTTCAGGTTTCCGTGTTTTTGTGTCCAGCAAGTGCGAAAAGACGACAGATGTTCAAATGTGCAGTCGTTTTGCTCAGACGTCTGCGGCAAAAAGCTGTATTGGTTTGCAGATTGCCTCGCTATGCAACAACTGGATGAACTGGACGGGATCAGTTAAGTAGAGTAGATAGATGAAGTGACAGAGAAAGGGAGAGACAGAGAGAGAGAGAGAGAGAGAAAGAGAGAAAGAGAGAAAGAGAGAAAAAGAGAGAGAGAGAGAGAGCGAGAGAGAGAAAAAACAAGAGAGAAAGAGAAAGAGAGAAAGAGAGAAAGAGAGAAAGAGACAGAAAGAGAAGGAGAGAGAGACAGAAATAGAGAGAGAGAGAGAGAGCGAGAGAGAGAAAAGAACAAGAGAGAAAGAGAAAGAGAGAGAAGGAGAGAGAGGCGGAGGGAGAGAGGCGGAGGGAGAGAGAGGAAACCGCTGCCTGTGTAACCTTCTGACCTAAAAGTTGCCTTGTGGAACCGCTTCCACTGGTCGCGCTCGCAAGGAGCCAGTGGCGCAGGCCTTTCACGCGGCTCTAGGCTTGGGCATTGGCTGGGCGCTTTTCAAGCCACAAGATCCAATCAGAAACCACGGGAGCGTCCCTTTTGACAGGGGTCCCTATATTTCCTTTGGGTTGTTTTAAACATCACCATTTTGTCCCATGAAAGGTGCGTGCCCCTTGGTGGGGGTGATGTTTTCAGGGGGAATATAGGGAGCGTCCCTTTGGAGAAAAGCCCCTTCGTATTCGGTGCGTGCCATGGTTGGTGGTTCAGTTACTTGCATTTGTTGGGAATTGTGGTTGTGGGGCCTCTTCTGTTTCTGAGTCAATGCCTTCGGCGTGCCAAGGTGGTCTGGTATTGAATTTAGCTAGGCGCGCTGCAACTGCCTTGAGCTCCATTGAGAGGCATGTTGGAAGTACACCGCAAGTTTTTGCATGCGGAATCTTTACCGGCCCACAAAACATGGGTTTTGGAGACGGAGATCCACTCCGTCGCACACCTACGCACATGCCCGGCACATGATAGCACACCTGCCCACGCACTCCGTCGCATGCCTGCGCAGATGCCTGGCACATGGCTGGCACATGCCTGTCACATGGTAGTCTCAGGACTTGCTACGTTCTGGACATGTTCCGTTGTGATTGTTTGGGGCCGATCCATTGAGGAAATTATTCCCCAGATAGCTGAAAGCCATACGGGTTCTAAAGGGAAAGTGATTTGCTAGATTGACAGCTGGGTGCTAGGGGGCGTGCAGTTTGGGGTTGGTGCGGGCGCATTTTGTAAGATTGACGGCAGGGGATGCAGTTTGGGTGCTGGTGCAGGTTCTGTTTTGGGATCCTGTTTGGGGCGCTGGTTGAGGTGCTGGGTGGTGCGGGGCGCATTTTGCGAGATTGATGGCCGGGTGCTCCGGGGTGATGGTGCGGCGCACTTTTGCGATTGATGGCAGGGTGCTAGGGCGGCATGCAATTTGGGGTGCTGGTGCGCCTGGTTTTGGGGGGTTGGTGACGTTGCTATGGGTCTATGCTGGTGTAATATTCCTGTTTGTGGTGAGGTTTGTTGTTCGTTGCGCTGTCTCCTGGCAAAAATTGACCCTGTGGATTCGCATCTGGGACTTCCCAGGGCTGGTCCATTGGTCAAAACGGATCCCGTGTCCATTTGCAAAGAACGTAGGACGCCACCAGTCATTTCGAGGGGTCCTTCAAAAGCACTAGATCAAAGCACTATGCGCGTAGAACCTTGATTTTGCTCAGATTGACATGTTCTCGTTTGAGCTCCAAAACGCTGGCAGGCGTATGATCTCAATAAGCGTTATAATGTTTTTCTTTGAACCACTTTTTGGGCGTGCAAATGCTGCCGAAATCATAGATTTCATCAATCGTGCTGTAGAAATCGCAACAGGTGCACCATTTGTGGCGTTAGCTGTGTTCCAAGCCCTGGCCAGACTTGCCCGGCACCAGCGAAGCGAGATACTCGTTGTTTCCCATTCTTTCTGAGTACTCTCTGCGCAAAGGGGGAAGCCAAGAAAGCCACTGACTCAAGTTTGGTACTTGTATGCCCAACGGGCGTTTTACGCACCGGTGATCAGACAAGAGGCTGATCAGTCAGTGAAGAATCTTGTAGAAATGAGTGAGCTTGCACAACTGGAGCCTTGTCGTTGACCTTGTTTGACCTGCAGCCGCTGGACGTTGTGAGACGCTCTTTCAGAGCCATGACAGGGAGAGGCGTGCAGGTTGTGTGCCTCTTACTTGTACTCATTGCTACTCCACCGGTGCCAGTGACTCCTTTTGAGACCCATCTGGGTATGAGTCCAAATTCACCCACCCGGATTTGGACCGCAGGCTTCCATTCCATTTGCCAGGGCAAGCCATTTTTCGGGGGTTGCCAACTACTTTCTGGACTTTCCACCTTCCAAGGCCCCATCAGGCCGTCCATTCCGCGAGTCCCCGCGCGGATTTTCGCCGGAAACCCGAAAAATCCGAAGGCCGCGGCTGCTACTTCTTCGACACGGCGCCCACCTATGGGCGGGGCTTCGCCGAGGAAAGCCGGGCTCACGGGCCCGAGTGTTTGGAAAAGCTGTGCTGTGCCACGCAGGGCGTGGCTTTTATGAAAATATAGCCAACATGATAATCGTATTGATAATAAGCAATAATATTTACAAAAGGAACCATGAAGATAAGGACAACACTAATAGATAGTAGCAATACTAATAGTAACAGTAATAGTAAATCAGCGCCATTGATATGGTTGTTATCATTGCTATTTTTTCTACAATTCTGACTTTCTTCTTCAACCCGACAGGGGGTGAGGCGGGTTCAGTGGTTCAGAGGCGAGTTCAGTTCTGGTTGATGTTCTTATGTTATTTGCAATATATTGCGAGGCCGAGTGTCTGAGCGGAAGGACCACAGGAAGGCATGGGTAGGTTGCTGCGCCATGGGATAGCAGAACTTGCCGGGTGTGTCGGTGGGGCATGGGGCATGTCTTGAGCCTTCGTGCGTATTTCTTTTTTGAAAGCAGGCCTTATTTTTCAGTTTGCGAAGGCAAAGCGATGTGCAACATGCCGATGAACCACGGGCAACGCCCCTGATCTTGATCCGTGCGTTGAAGAGAAATTGCTCGTGTGGCGTTCCACTTTTCTTCGGCACAAGGTGTTTGCCGAGCTGTTGCACATGCTTCCGCAGGCAGAACTTTCCTTGGTTTCGGAGGCAGGCAGAAGCAAGAGCTTTGCATTAGCAAGCTGGCGGCAAGAATCGGGCATCCGGACCAGGAATTCTAACTCCAAGGCTTGTTGCAGCCTCAACTTCCATTCGCTTAAGACTATCTTTATGTTCCCTAAAATCAAGAAGGGAAGCTATCGCTGGATAAAATTGTCCCATTTTTCCCCGTGGGCGAAATGCACCACGTCTAGAAAGGCGCCGGCCGCCAGCGCGCGTCTTCTCAGCTGTTTGATCGGCTGGAGCAGAGCTGAGGCTTGGGCTACCATTGCAGCCACGGCCACTATGCCTTCGTGGCGACGCGGCAGCCTTAGGGGTGGCATAGGCGTCCTTTTCAGGTGACTTTGGCTGGAAATAGATGGCACTGGTTTTGGTTGGTTTGATTTCATTGACCAGGGCCATCTATTTGCCCAAAAAGGACACCTAGGGGTGGGGGGCTCATCTTGAGCAGATTGGGCGGAAAGGCTGCGTCGCGCGGTTTGGGTTTTTCTTTTGATCTGATTGCTGGATGTTATGGTTATTTACTTGTCTGCTTATCTTTTCTGAGTTGAGTGACAGATTGGATTTGATTTCACTGAATGTGATTTAACTTGATGTGATGTGATTCGAATTGCTGCTATTGCCTGACTTAGTGATTGGTTGACTCCTGCCGACAATCCATGCTGAAGTAAAACAGGGTTGAAAGACATTTTCTACCATACCAACAGACTCCCAGTTTGGCCTCTCAAGGGTTATTTTGCAGAAGGCATGCAACATCCAACTCACCTTGATGCATCGCATCAAAAGCTTTCCACCATCAATCCCTTGTAGTCCGATCGAATCTTTGAGTCTCTTGGTTTTTCTCCCCTTTTTTGTTCAAAACAAACAACGAATTTTGTTTTTACAAATACATTCTTTTCTGTTAGCATTGGGCTCTATGCAAAACGATTGTTTTTAATAGAAACAAACTTTGCGAATCTTGGTGGCTCACAGCTATCCGGTTCCTTCATTTTTGAGTTTCCGCATTGAACCCACAAGTTCGTCACTTTTAGCAGCGGATCAGACAATTCTGCAGCCCAGGAAGGTCAAACGGTTGAGTGTCAAGCCTCTTTTTTTCTTTTCTTCTTTTCTTTTCCCCCTAGTTGTTTTCTCCTATTGTTTTTTGCTTTTTGCGTTTTTTTTTTCTCTCTCTCTCTCTCTCTCTGTTTTTTTTTTGGGGGGGGGGAATACTTGTATTTCCCGCGAGGAAGCACTTCCCGCGCCCGGGCCGGGAGTTGGCGAAGGCCGTGGTGGCCACAGCCCGGGAGGCGACACTCGGAGAGACGTCGGGGCGGGGGGAGCCTTTCGGCAAGGGACGGTGGGTTTTGGTCGGCTGGTTGGTTGGATCGTTTTGGTATAAAAAACAGAAGCAAACAAAAGAAAGCAAGCAAAAAGCATAAGCAAGCGACTCAGGAAGGAGTCGAACCTCCATGAATTGCGAGCCTGCATCATGCTGGCCAGAAGCAACGCCTTACAAACCAACACTCCTTCATTCATCCTATAACCTGGTTAAACTTGGGAGCCGCAGGAGAGCGCCGTCAGTTGACATGCCACATGATGGTTTCGGGGCATTTGTTGCGCATTGCAAATGGACACGCCGAAGTGTGCTTTGCGACAAGGTCTCTTTTCAATCCAAAGTTGGATTCGTGACGATTGGTGAGCTTGTCTTTTTCTCTGCATGCGTGGGAACTAAGAAGGGAGGGCCGACTTGGAGAAGGGTGGGCCGAGTCTAGCCACGGTTTGGGTCGCTTGGATGCTGCCCATCTCTGCAAGGCTGCCTCGCGACTCCAGCTGGAGGGGCGCGGCGTGTGCGTGGGGAGTAGGGGGTGGTTTGGCGCAAAAAGCCAGGACTGGAGGGGTGTTACATAAGTGTTCTTTTTGGTTGTTGTGGTCGAAGAATAGATGGCCCTGGTTTACTTGGTGGTTTAATCATCTACCAGGGCCATCTATTTAGGTGTGTTGGTTTGATGAAGCTGCTCGCTCAAGGGATTTGCGACTTGCCGCATTGCCCACACGGATTGTTGGACGGGGATTTCGGTGACTGAAGTAGGCGTGTGTCAGGACCTGAAATGGTCTCTGCCTACGCGTTTGCACTCGACAAGTTGACGTGCCCTCTGGAATACTCCGGGGCATACGCCTCAAGGAAAAGAACAAAGGGGGATCAAACAAAATGACCAGAGATCAATCAAAAAAGCACATGGGCATCAAGAAACCAACAAAATACATCCTGCAGGAAGGCAGGCAGGAATCGAAGAAGCAAAGGAAGGAAGGAAGGAAGGAAGGAGGGAGGAAGGAGGGAGGGAGGCAGGGAGGCATTGGGGGGGGTACCGAAAGTCGATGACAGGCCTGACGGCGAGTAGCACGTACGAAGTTGTGTTTTTGCGTGCCTCATGAAAGCGGTTGCTTCTGCAATAGATGATGGTACGTTTTTCTTTTGATACCCAGTTTAGGATCTATTTTGATCCTGTGAGGATGTGTTTTTTGATCTCTATTAGCTTCTCTCTGTTGATGCTCGGCCCATACTCCGGCCCCTCAGCTCTACCCCCCCCCCCCCCCCCGTTACTTTGCATTTGAGCCACGGCCGCCGCTCAATTTCCAGAAACATGAATATGGGTGGCCCACTTTAATCCCGCTCGGTTTTGCTTGCGACGCATCTCTTTGGCCTACTTCCGTGAAAGGGGCAGGGTGTCCTCGCGGAAACCTCCGGGCTTTTGGCCTTCAGCCCCAGCCCCACGGCGCAAGGCCCGTGGATCTCCTTCAACTGTCTGTGACTCAGCATCCTTGGCAGGGGCTACGGCGCTCGGGCCAGCCGAACACGTGTTGGCAGGTGGCGGCTCAATGGAGCCCAACAAACTCACCCTTGGCATATGGAGCCAAAGACTAAAAGCTGCGCAACCCTTGCTCTCTAGTCTTGAGCCACGCACAGTTGCGCTTAGTTGGCGCGGCGTGTTTCTGCGGGAGCGCCGTGGTTTTGGGTTCGAGCGCACGGGACCTGAAGCAGAAGCGAAGTGCTGCCGGCCTCACGGAGTTGGGCGGGAGACTTTGGGCGTGCCCCGCATGTTCCCATCTTCTGCGCCTTGTGGCTTCCTGAGATTAAAAAAGAAAGAAGAAACATCCGAGCGAATGGGATGAAGAGAAAGCTTGGGTGGTGTTGGGGCCGAGGAGGGAGGGACATGGATGGGCTGGGATGGAGCTGCGCTCAGGCACCGCCCTGCGGAGCCCCCGTGCTCGCTGGAGGCGTGCCTGCTTGGATGCAGACGGCCAGCATTTGGAGCGCGCCGGACAAGCCATTCAAAGCAGTGTTCCTAGCGTGGTAGCTGCGTTGTTGTGTAGAACAAGCTACTAATTCCGCTTGTTTGTTGGTGGAAGGATGGCTGCAGTTCTTGCCTGTTTCGTTGGTCGAGAACGCAAGCCTCATTTTGTGTTCTCTTGCGAAGGATGGCTGTAAGCCGCGCTGGTAGGGCAACATTGACGCAGCCACAGTCGAAGTCAGTCTCGGGCCTCATGCAGCTCAGATTTGTGGGATGTCTCATGCGGCGCCTTGTTCGCGGGTTTTCACAGTCGACATGCACTCATTGTTTGAACATGCATGACTTGTATCCGAAGAGGCGGCCTTTCCGGCTGTCGCTGCGCATGAAAAACCTCGCAGCGCAAGTTGAGATCTTTTGCCTTCGGAAGGCCCAAGCAGATGCCCTTGCAGCTGCCGTAAGGGGCGCCCAGTCGACTCCCAGACCCGTGCAGGGCTCCATGGTCCAGGGCAAGTTTTGTAAATGCAGCGGAGACAAGGGGAACTTTGCTGGTGATCCTGCTGTGCGTGGGATGCGTCGGAAAACTCCACTTGCATTCTATGCCGAAAGAATGTTGTTCAGACTGGCGTGCAGCGTGTGACCAAGAAAGCTGGCACCGCGGCATGTCAAAGCACATTTTTTGGTCCAGATGGGAGGGCGAAATGGGGGGGACTCCTGCAAATGGCTGTGCTAGACAACTAGAAAGGGGCCCCCAGTTTTAAAAGCGCTGCTGGTATGCTTTTTTGGGAATGTGCTGCAATGCCTCGATAGACCAGATTGACCTGCGAAGGCAAATGGTTGGGCTGTCAACGGAGAAATATCGAAGATGCCCCCACCCCTCCGGCCTCCCCTCCCTCCTGCCCCCGGACCTTGTCATGGCGTACCCAGGTCAAAGCCGGCGCTGCCAAAGCAGTGGGTGCCGGGCGGCCAACAAATTCTGGTGGCGCGAGGTGATGTTCGTTCCAAACTTGATCCGTCCCCGGCCAATCCCCTCTGCTCTCCAGTTCTGCCAGGTTCGGTGCCTTTGAGTAGCGTAGGGTGCCCATCCCCCTGGCTTAGTTCCTCCCTGTCATTGGCCGCTTTGCTGGTGCGGTGGTTTTTCATGGCTAAGTCTTGCAAGGCATCGCCTCAAATGAGCGCTCTGGCCGACCCAAAAGCACTAGCCCGGAATTTGGTGCTCGCCCCGGGGTAGGGCATCCCCAGGACCAAAAGCGAACCAAGCGCACGCGTGCAGAGCCAAAACACGTGGCGGATATGCTAAATCTGGGGCAATACACGCAAAGGTCTGGCTGTGAGTTGCCGAGGGAAGATTCCCGCATCGGTCACATACCGTAGACGAAATCCCTTTCGCAGCACCTAAGACACCCATGGAATGACGATTCCCCTGTAAACACCAGTGAAGAATGGTTTCAACCACGGTTCCAAGTGCTCCGAACAGATTTCGCAACCATCCACGGTAAGTTCCACGGCAACGTGGCTGGGCTGTGGGTCAAAACCGGTGCACCACCCATTTTAGTCTATTTTTGTGGGGATTGGGATGTTCACTGGGGGTTTGAGGGGTTTTGACCCATGGCCAGATCGATGTCGAGGTCTGCAATTTTTCCCTGGCCGAGCTGAGAGCGGTGCATGGGCGCCTGAGAGCGGTGCACGGGCTGCGGCTCGCCAGCTGCCAGGCCGGAGATTCTCTCCCAAAGCGGCGGGAGGGAGGATGGGATCAGCACGGTGCAAGCAAGGCCTGAATTGACTTTTGTTGCATTTTGCTTGGATGTTAGGACTTTAACTTTTTGCCAACTAATGGGTTTTCCATTAAGCCGCTCAAAGTCAAACTTTTAGCAGGGGAGCAGAAAGCAACCGAGTTCACGCGGTATTGAAGGCGTCCTGTCAAAAAAGCGGGCTGTCCTCAGATCCCACGGCAACCGTTTCACTTTTGCTGGGTTGAATCAATGGAAGCCCCCCACTCAACGCTAAGAGCTAGCAAGCTAAGGAACCGGAGGGCACCAAGAACCTCACGCGGCGTTTGCCAACCAGCCCCTTCCCCCCCCCCTTTTCCCAATGTGGACACTACGTGGATTCCCCCAAAAATTAGGGCTCGGAACAATCTGTGCGCCCCAAACCGCTGGGTTGCTTCCCTGAAACGCCGCCGGGGGCCTTCCGCTGGCGCGCGGGACCTCGCTCGCTCGCGGAAACCGAAACCGCAGGTGGAGCTGTCCTTGGCCCGTCAGCTGCCGGTGGCCTCCGGCCTCGCCGGCGGCCCGGGGATTTTTCTGCAAGCGAACCGGTGGAAAGTTCTCCGGTGGAAAGGGGGGGAGGAGTTTGTGAAAGTCACCTGGGGGGAAGGGGGAAAGGGGGGAAGGAGTTTGGGCAGTTTGGTTTTGGTAGGTGTCGCTGTCACGTGCTTCTTCTTATTCTTCTCAGGCCAGTTGAAGGTGGCACTCGGCCCCCTCAAGAAAGGGCGGCGGGGAGGGGTTGGCTCTTTCTTCTTCTTCTGCTTGCTGGTGGTTGTCGCTGCCATGTTTGGTCGTGGCTGTGGTCTCTGGATCTGTCAAGCTGTAATGACAGCTGGCGGTAGTCGTGCAGGTGTTCTCGCCTGGGTGTTGGACCGATTTTGCAGAGAGGAGACAATCATGTGGAGAGGGCAGGCTACCAATAGGGCTCCGTGATTCAGCAGGGTCTTTTCAAAAGCATTTGCAGCTAAGGGAGGCACACGCTGTCCCCAATTGCCGATCCACGAATCAAAGGAGCGATTCCAAGAATGGCCCGATCAAGACAAATCAGCCACAATCAAAACCCAGGTAGATGAAGGTTAGTCAGGGACAATCCCAACCACAAATAGCTGAGGCCGCCTTCATGGTTCTGGGTAGACCATTTTGATACCAGGTTTTGAGCAAGTGACTCAAATGACTCCGAAGGCATGGAGCCAAACAGAAGATTCCACGATTCCACCGGTGACGCTTTGGGGATCCCTCCTCGACGCTTTGCCACGTCGCCGGCGCTCATTTCTCAGGTGAACGGCTGCCGGGAGCTCGGTGTCATCGCGGGGTGGCCCGGATGTCGGGCTTGATGGAGCATGCCCATCGTTTTTTTTCCCCCCCTTTTTTCTCTCCTTTTTTTTTCCTGTTTTTTTGAAACCCAAGGAGGACTCAAACCCAGTGCTTCCGGGGTGGTGAATTTTCTCAAACGCGGATTGAATATAATTAGCCGAAAGTGGAACACAATTGTCCTTTCATTTCTGCATGGTCGAATCTACCTCCGGAGACGATTGGAGATGTGAACTGATGAAATGTTTGTACCGTGACACTCAAATGGTTTCAGAGGCATTGTCTCCAAGATGATCACAACATGGTGAAATGGGGGCGAGCATCCGATCCTGATGTTACTAGGGTCGACAGTCACACATGTTGACCACCAGACCCAAGGCCATTAGTTTTTAAATTTCTTGCCACTTGGGCAAGCCACCCATGTGTATGAGTTAATGTCATCGTGCGCCAGGGGCAAATATCGAACTCCCTCAATGGTGAGATATGTTTCTTGTTTGCCTGCTGCAACCTGGCGACTTCACTTCATCGGGAAAAAAAAACAATTTGTCAGACCTCCAAGGATTCCTACACTTTTTTTTTGTATTTTTTTCTTTTTCAGGGGGAGCGGGGCAGGAGGGGCCTCATTCCCTGCTGAGCAGCAGCATTTTCTTCTTTTTTTCTTGTTATTGTTTTGGGGGGCATGTGAGGAAGCTATGCCCCCCAAAGCCTCGCTGCTCTTTGAAGGTGCTGGCATACTCCCCGCTCGCCATGGGCCGACTAAGCGGGCGCTACGCGGACCTGCCGCGTCCTTTTTTGGGGCGCGTCTCGTTTTCTTTCGAGGTGCCCTCCTCGAAAGGAGCTTTGGAAACTGACAGGAGCTCCCCGTTGGCAGGATGCCTGCCAGGCTTCTTGTTCATTTCAGGTTGGTGTTTTCTGGGCTTTGGGATGGGCCCTTTGGAGTTCTGTAATAAATGACATTTGTATGTTGATCATTCATGCGTTCGATTGTCGTGTGGGGAGGGTGCCTCGAGGGCAGATTCCATTCTCCTTGCACTCTGAACCAGACCGCTGGCCAAAACCTGGAAGTAAGCAATTTGTGTTGGAGGACGCGCCAGAGCGCTAGCTCACTTGATACGTTAGGGTGTGGGAAAGGTCTGGGCAATCAACTGACACTCGACCAAGGACTCAACCACTGCAATGAATACATGTGAATACATGCATATGTCTATATGCGCGCATACATACACCCATTCATACATGGTGGGCATGCAGGCTCCTGGCATGCTGGTGCCGCTACGTGTTTCAGCCAGGGCCCGGACGGGCCGGCCCCAAGCTGGTGGGAGCGCGGGAAGCGCAAGCCGCGGCCATTCGGCCTCTTGGCGAGTTTGGACGTCTCTTCTGAGGGTACGTGGTTTGTAGGTTGCTTGAAAGGGAAGCCGAAAGGAACACCGAACCCATTTTGGGGGGTTTCCCTTTAAAAAAAAATGGCACACCCATGGGCTCAGTGCATTTGGTTTGGGTTGCTTGAAAGGGAACCAAAAGGGCATCCAGTTGGATCGGCCTTTGGGAGGGCATTGGCCACATCGATTGGCAAAACCTCCCTTTTTGTAAGTGGGCTCCATGGGCAGGCGGTGCGTGTGCAGCAGACACTGGCCGTCGATATGTTTCGAGTGAGGGATGGAGGATGGACAGACTCGCAGTCCTCACATCGAGTTGAGGGTCACGTATATTCAAGTGGCGATATAGACAGCCAGACCGAACACGACCAGCTCGCTGACTGGTTGACATAGCAGCCCCCCCCCAGGAGAGGGATGCGCAACAGATGTTGTGACAGTTCATGGAGCCGGTCTTGCAACATTGCATGATATATGCCTCATACACACCTCCACACATGTGCGACTTGCTGGCACAGAGCAAGCACGACCAGCTGCAGGCAACTTTTGAAACGACCATATCCTAAAGGACTTCCTTGGCATATTTCAATATAATGAACCCTAACGGACCCTTAAGCCTCCAGTTGCCTGGGTTTCGGTCCTTCCCAGTCATCCCTGCCAGGTAACCAGCCACTTTCCGTTTGGCTGAGTGCGATTCCCTTGGTACCCATTTGGTTGTGCTTCTTTTTGGGGGCCCCCAAATGTCAATGGCTGGCAACGCTTCTCCCTTTCAAACACCCAGAAAAGAAAAGTATGCCAACTCCAAAGAAGCGGTTGCACCTGCGCCACCCGGTTTTTTTCACCTTTTTTTTCCCCTTTTTCTTCTTCTTCTTCTTCTTCTTCTTCTTTTCTTTTCTTCTTTGTTTCCCCCATTTTTCCCGAGGCCACCAGTTCTTTTCTTTGCGAACCGGCTGGTGCAAGCCCTCGGGTCTTCCCGCCCTTGAGGCGCCAGCCTGGACCAGGAGACCCCCGCCTGGCGGGAGCTCCTGGCTGAGCTGCGGCAGGCGAGTCGGCGAGACGGCGAGTGCTTGGGCCACTAGTTGGACCGGGCGCCGCGTTCGTTTTCGAGCCCAACGTGTTCTTGACACTTGGAGGTTTTGTTTTCTTTTTTTTTCCCACATTTTTTTTTTTTTTTTTTTTTTAAATCGTCTTTTGTTTTCAAAGATTCTAAACAATTTGGTCCATCAAAGGGCTGGGTCCAGCGAAGCCAAGTGGCCAAGCGTTCTCTGCTAGTCACGCCATAGGAAGGTTCGCTTGGGGCTCAACACGCTCGATTGCCACTGATACAGTATGCCAAAAGTCGGAAACGGCGTCCAGAAAGGGTGTTTCAAGTTAGATGCGCTAGAGTTTTGTCACCAGGATATTTTCGAGATAATTGGGGCCAAACGATGAATTCGGTTCCGGGAGCTGGGGCCTCGTCAGTTGCTGGGTGCCTTCACTTCATCTCGGACGTTTGGGTGGGGCCAGTCTGTGGATCTAGGGATCTAGGGGCCACTTTGGGTCGCTGAAGCTGCCGTGTCGCGCTCATTTGGTGCCCTGCCAGATGGGCCAGAAGTATGGCAAGACCGTGGCGCAGGTTGGACGCCAAGCGGATTTGTGGGACGTTCCAGAATATGGGTATGGGTCAACATTTAAACCACAGGGGACCGCGGGTTTTGGTCCATGTTTTCATTTACCAGGGATCCATTTTGGGTACCTATTTGTGACCCACAGCCAGACTTTCCTGGCATCCAGCGGAAAACAAAAGCAGCTGAGAAGAAGTTATCCCAATAGGTAGCTCTGAGTTAAGGACAAGACAGTGGCAAGTGAGGCAATGGCGTGATTAGCGGCTTCCTGCCGTGCCAATACGATAAGGACACAGGACATGCCACATAGCTGTTGCTGGGAACTGCAGCGGAATCCGGCTCTACACCAAACAGCTCCAAGGGCGCCGAGCACATGGTGCCAAATGTTGAGAGCATTGCTATAATGCTGTGCCAGTAAGGCCACTCATGAGTAGGTCGGCCGCAGAAATGAAGCTGAGATCGAAACCTTTGTCCACTTGCGGCTGAAACGCGACAGTGTGAACCCTTGACAGCTAACGACATTTGAGTGTAACCAAAAGGAAAGCCAACATTTTGGGAGGTCCCCCAAAAAGACGCCCGTTTCGATCGCCGATCAGCCGAATGCTTACCCTAAATCTGAAGCGCATCTGCAGCTCCAGGTAGCCATCAACTGGGTCTTGTGCCAGGTGGGAGCATCATGCACGTGCCCTGAGGTGTTCAAACCCAAGGTTGTTCAAGTATTTGTCCGCCTCTCTGCCTGCCTTGTCTGAATTTTTGCATTTGATTGTTTCTGTGGGCAAGCGGCATTTGTGTTTTTCCAGGAATCTTGTGTCTGCCGCCAGGGCGCGGTGGCCATTTGTGGGGCCTGGGGCCCCATGGTTATGGGAGGGAGGGGTAGGCGGCTAGTCGGCGTCTGTTCACATGGCCATGAGTTTCAATAGGGAACCACCTCCAATGTGGTGGATTCATGGATTCCTGAATCCCCACCGAATTTTGATGTCCTCCATTTCGGGTCCCTATTAAACAATTCACACCCATATCTGAGATCGACAAACACAAGGTCCACAGGGCTTTGGCTGCTGTATGCACCCGAACAAAACCGGCGTCACAAACGGCAAGCGTCGGTTGTTTTTTTTGCCGTTTGGCTGAGGCACGAGATGGGCGCCAGGCGGCTGAGAATGCGGGGGCCATGGGTGGGGAGCCCAGTTTGATTCCCTCAAGCTTCCATTTGCTGAAAGGAATATGTTGCATTGAAAGGGAATCTATCACTACCCATTTGCTGCAAAGAACATGATTTCCCTGGTTGGTGTTTTAGGAAACCCATTTTTCACTACTGGCGATTGCAAGTCTTGCTGGTGCTCAGATAATGAGGGAATGACCCGCTTTAAACCATCCCCTGTAGTTTCCTTTAAGGAGATCCCCTTTCTGTTCATTCCCCAGCCCGGCGTGGGAATCTATTCTTCTGACCAGCTAAGGTTGGCGTCTCAGCGCAGAGGCAGGGCCACAGCAAGCGCGGCGCACAATTGTGAAGCATTTCAAGTCTTGCAACCAAGTTCATGCCTGGCTGCACCCTGCAGAGTGACATTTTGTAGGGGCAGTCGTGTAGCATCGGGCAATAATACCTCACTCCCTTCAGCCAGTGACTCGCGAATCTCGGCCTTCTGATGTCAAGGGCAAACGCCCCTGACTTGTTTGCTTTGAAAGCACCAAGCCTCGAGGGTTTTGTACGCGGCCGATGCCCATTTATGCTGTTCGGACTATTCGGCATGAGCCCCATCAGGAGAAAAAACCATCTCGGTTTGCGGTTCTGTCCAAAAGTCGCGAGCTGTGCATCCGGGTCCTGGGACAACACCGGTCCGGTCCTGCGGCTCTTGGTGACTTGTCAGCTCCACTCTACCTCCTGTTTCTGTTTTGACCGGCTTCCGCCAGGATGCAATGGCACTTGCTGCGCGGGGCGTCGTTGGCCCAGTTGGCGGGTGAGGTGTGTGTGCTGAAGATCCCTTCAGGGCGTTTCGAGGAGGTGGTTCTGCTACCTGGTTCATGGCGTTTACAGTACAGCCTTTGTAAAGCCTTGTCAAACAACCCAAAGTCGATGAGTTTAGGGCGCTCACCTCAAGGGTTCGCAGTTGCACGCCAGAATTGAGCCTTGTTCCCACATTATCCCATCTCCAACCTGAGTGCTTGATCCGCTGGACCTTCGGCCTCATGGCAGCAAATGACGGGCAGCATGTTTCCATGACTTTCCTGCTGAGTTGGGGAATGTACACTTTGTGGCGCCCTGTCTTCAATCAAGGGTAAGTACTTCAACATCAGCAGTCAGGAAATGATCAGTTGGCCAGTCCTTTCCAGCTAATCACACATGCAGACGCGCTTGATGGACAGTCTTGCACCACTCACCATTTCGATCCGAAGTGCCGTCAGCTGTTGCACACCCTTGGTTCGGGTTCTTTCATTTATCATATGTCAGTGGGTCAGTGGAGGTCGTTGATCGCTTGTTCCGTTCGCTTGTGGACGAAGTGTGGCGTCATTTGGCCTGATCTCTGCCATGTCTGAGGCTCGAGGAAAGACTTCAGATTTTCAGCATGGTTAGTGCTCAGAAAAGAAGCTGGCAAGGTGCGTTTCCTCGGTGCAACTGGGAATGGCTACATGTGCTTCATAGCTTGAAATCACAGCGTGATTGAGCAGAAGAGCATGCAACCAAGCTCAGTCCAGCAAGTCGCTGTTTGACCTGTTTTCCTTTTTGGCTGCAGCATATGGGGGGCGGGTCCGTTGCAAGGGTGTTTTGTCTCAACCAGACCACTGTGCAAGGAACTTCGGCCGCGCTTCATCAGCGGCAGCACAGCAATTTCCATGTTCTGTGAATGCACATGCTCCCTGGACGCAGCACGCTGGAAAGCCTTGTTTTCAACCGCCCTGTTCGTACCAGGTGAGCTTTTGCTTGTGCAAGGCCTTGAAACCTTGCCGGTATGCAGCAGGGTTTTGCCGCAAGAGTTGCAAGCATGAGGGCTTCTTCCGCTCTCATCCTCTCCTTTCTGGCCCGCACGCCGAAGAACCTGCATGTCAGAATGGTACCCCCAAAAAAATGCGTTTGCTCACGTAGACCATGCATCGATTGTGAAGGCCTTCAGTATCTCAGTGCCGCCTTTGGCTTCACATGGGCCGTTGCGAAAATCATGGCGCAGGTTCGGTCTGGGTGGTGTCCATCGATGGGTGCAAAATAAAGAACGCGTTTTGCCCTGTGAATGGTTGAACTCTTCTCATAAGCGCGACCTTTGTCCATAATTCCGGGGGTCAGACACATCGAAGCAAACGGCCTTTTGGGCGAATAAAGAAGCCAAGCGAGAAGCAGCGAGTTTGCAAGGATTCCGAAGGAATGGAACATACAAACCGCCACTTTGGTCTCCGAGAACTTCTCCCCCGGCCCTCTGACGAGTTGGTCACGATGCCTGGCTTCGGCTCAAGCCTCAAGCCTGAGCCATCGAAAGGACAGAAACCGGCTTGGGATGTGGCGAATCTGTGGATCCGCCGCTGTAGGATATGAGAAGAGAACTAGCAGACTACAAAAAAAAACAATAACAGGGAAGAACAGGTGAAGTCCACAAAAAAAGCGCATCCAAACCGTTCTCCAGAATTGCACCTTCCAACATTCCCTGACGACGACGGGAGATTGGGAAGGTGTTTTTTTTCGTCACGAGGTCTGCGTGCTCCAGACCCCGGGGCCACCAGTTGGGTCCAACTTTTTACCCCCCCCCCCCCCAACAAAAAGAGGCCGGGTTTCCTTGTGGCTTCCCTTAAAAGCCGCGAAAGAAGGGGTGGCTTCCCTGAGAAAAATGCAAAAAAGGGGTACCACCCTGAAAAGAGACGAGCCCATTTCTCAGCCAGCCGCGGCGCCATCTCGCCATGCTCAGCGTGCGCTGCGCTGCGCCGAGGCTCCATGCCCCAAACCGTGCGCACAGCCCCAAAACGTCCGAACAATTCCGGGGTTTTCAGGGTTGCCTGGAAAGGAGATACACACCCACTTGTCACGGCCGGGAGGCTGCAGCTTGTTTCAGGAGCCTCGGTTTGATTGGTCGCCTGGGTTCCGGTTGCCAGTTGCTCACTAGGTCTCGCTTTTTTGGTGTTTCTGCAAAATAATATTTTCTCGCTCCACGTGCCGGCCTCGCATGCCAGTGAAAGTCCTACAGGCAAAACCGAGACGTGCGGGATGGATGGTGGATGGATGGATGGATGGATGGATGGATGGATGGATGGATGGATGGATGGATGGATGGATGGATGGATGGATGGATGGATGGATGGATGGATGGATGGATTGATGGATTGATGGATGGATGGAGTTGGCGCGAGCCGATGACTAGAGGAGAGAAGCTGAGCCACGTGATCGCACCTTGTCCCAGACCCCAACCAAGCAGGTTAGTTCAGCGCGCGTACATCGAAGCATCCCCTGCGTGCCAGCGCTGCCGAGCGGGACTCTTGAAACGTATTGGCACAAGAGCACGTATATACAAGTACAATACAAGCATGATGGTGATGATGATGATGATGATGATGATGATGATGACGATGACGATGACGATGACGATGACGATGACGATGACGATGACGATGACGATGATGATGATGATGATGATGATGATGATGATGATGATGATGATTATTATTAGCATGACCACCCTTCCCACGCGCCTCCGTCCTTGGAGACAAGGACCTGTTTTTGTTCTTTCTGCACAAGGGTCAAATGGGCACGCAGATTTGACAGGGACCTAACCAGCAGACCCTCCCCTGCACCAAAGCCACCTGTGCCAGGGCTCTGGGTGCCCGCGGCTTCGCCAAGTACACGCGCAAGGGAATTTGGGCCCGGGGCGACTATGGGACGCTCGGCTTGGAAAAAAAGAAAACGACGCGTATCGGCCAAGGAGGGCCTCGAAGATCAGGCTGGTGCTCACTGTTCTCACTTGAACTTGGCCCAGCTCCTTAGGTTTTGAGCTTAGGGATCTCCATTTGACCCACTAAAGTTAAACACTTTTTGCGCGGGGTCTCAGGAGAGCCCAAGAAAGGCGGTTGGTTGAGCTGAATTTGTGGAGCGTCGCCCGCTCAAGCGGCGGCAGTGCGACCAGTCCCTCCCGCTTCATCCCTCCTTCGAGGCGAAAAAATATCTGGGCTACACGGACAAGTCTCGCAGACCAGATTTGGGGGGGCTTCTTCGGAAAGGGGGAGGTACATTTGGTAAGAACGTGGAGACGTTTTTTTTTGAATGAATGTTGACTTCTGATGACCGGCATTCAGATCACAATTTATTCACAGCAACAGTTGAACGTTTTTTCTACGTTGCTGCTGCTGCCGCTGCTGGCTGCTGCTGCTTCTAAGTGTTTTGACCCGTTGCACACAAGCAGTCAGGCCTGCAATGTGGCCAGCACTCGCATCCCACCGCTTGACACGCAGATCGCCGCGGCGATAGGAAGAGAGCCCCAGCTCTTGAGACGCCTCGGCTGCCGCGGCCAAGATCCCAGGCCTTGAAGCCTCGAGGCGTTCGGCGTCGGCGTCGGGGAGGGGGAGATTTCAGCCCCATCTGAGGCTGTATACCATGGACGACCCCCGGATCTTCCGACCGCCGCCTCCGCGGCAGTACCCCTACCACAAGCAGCGGAAGTGGAGCAAGCCCTACTACTGCCCGGGGGCCGAGCCGAGGGCAGTGGCTCCTGCAGGTGCTATCCAACCCCAGAACTGTTCAACCCCCCCCCCCCAAACCCCAAACCCCGCCGCCTATGGCGGGCGATTGCTGGGGGTTGTTCCCAAGGAACATTTGGCCGTGTGTCAAAATGATGCAGCCCCGGAAACTGGAAGGTTTCCTGTTGTTCCGAGTCCCCACATTCACACAACCCTAAACCAACCCGAAACAACCCACCCTAAACCAGCCCTAATTCAGCCCTAAACTTAAACCAGTTTTAAATCAACCCCAAACCAGCCCTCAACCAACTCGAAAACCACTTACCACTTCTCCTTCAGGCGCGTGCCTGACATATCCAAAGGGTCTTTGAGCTTCCGGGTCCGAGGCGTGCGCAACAGCGCTGCCGGGCCCATGGGCACTGCCCTGAAGCTGGTGGTGCTGTACCGGAAGTTCGACATGGCGCCGGCGCGGGGCTTTGGGCGTAGGGGGTGGGGGGTGGGGGAGGGTGAGAGGCGGGCGGACCAATGGGAAAAGATACGACAGGAGAAAGGGTGGTTGGTTTGGCTTGTTGAAGGGGTTGTTGAAAGGATGTTGCAGGGTTCGAAGGAGTGAAGATGACCTGGGATTCATCCTCAGCGGGTTGCACATGGTTTCACAGGCTAGGCTCTTGAGCATGTCTGAAAAGTTGCTCAACGCAATCTCTGAGATTGCCCGCTGGCAGCACAGCTTTAAAGAACTCGGTGGGCCAACAAATCGGGAGCAATGCCGCTGACACGGATTTGCAAGGGAAGGTGCTGCTGGCTGGATAGGCTGGCCACTAGCCTTGCAAAGGCGGGCAAGTTTGCTGCTGACCTGCAAGCTCAGTGCCTGACTTTTATTCAAATAAAGCACCACAAACGAGCGTATCCACCATTTTTGTTTGCCCAAGGAGGGGAAGAACCAGCGACTGACTAACGAGTAGTTGCCACTTCCATCGAAGTACTTTAGAACTCCATGAGTAGTTTGGAATGATATGTGTCCTTTTTAGGTTAGTTTGACTAGACATAGATGGGTTCCACTGGTTTAGATGGGTCTTATAAACTCCATTTCCCAGGGAAACCCACCATTTTTCCAAACATCGTTCTTTTCAAAAACCGGATCCGATTCCCCCCTGGGTTTCCGGAGGTTTTCCAGAAAGATTCGGATCCCTGGTTTGGACCGCCACTCGACTTCGGGACGACCTCGGCTTCTCGCCAGGCCTTCTACGAGGTGCAGCGCTTGCTGCATGACCACCTCCCGGGGGCCCAGATCTTGGCGGAAGCGGTGGACCCGCAGACCGGAGACCAGCGCCTGGGTTTGGTGCGAGAAAGAACTCGCGCGCGCGCGCGAACTCGCGCGCGGGCTCTCGCGTGGAACGCGTCGCCGGGGGGTGGAGGGGGTTTCGGTGGGTTAGGGGGTTTGGGGGTGATGGTTGCCCTCCCTCTCACCAAAACATGGCAGCCGACAGCTGCCTCCACACAAGTGCCAGGTTGGTGGGAGGAAGGGCAGGCGAACAAAGACGACCCGCAACATGCATCCTTTTTGAGCAGAACCCCAGCGTCGCCGAAAGTGCCAGACTCCGCTGTCCTGTTGAGTGGGGAGCAACCTAAAGTCCGTTTGCACCTGTCCCATCAGGAGACTTGAGACTGGGCGACTGGTTCGGCATAGAATCTGAACCATCGACAGATCGAAGTTGATGAGTTTTGCCTAGTGATTTGTGGGTCTCAGCCTTTCTTGCTGCCACAAAGGGTTGGCAGGCAACCTGTTGTCATCATGTTGAGGACGTGAGGTACGTGAGGAGTGACCAAGTTGGGTTGATAAACCTTTGACGACTCCATGATGCTCCTTTGGCGGTGAGATACCATGTAGATGGATTTCGACATTTCCAGAGGATTCAATTCACACATTGCACATCGACGGTGGGAACTGCCTGGACAAAAATGTGTGTGTGCCGAAATGAGGCTCCCTTCCGGTGACGGTGAGGCTTTTTATTATTCTTAAGAGCCAGGCTTTTTGTGACAGGTCAACCCACAAGGCATCCAGTGTTTTTTTGTTCTCTTTTGTTCTTCTGTTTATTCCCCAACAGCTGAAAGCTTTGGGGTCTCAGCCCAGATAGGCTCCGGGGTGGTCCGCGGCGACCCTGAGGTAAGGTTCCACGAGGGTTCCACAAGGGTTCCACCAGGGTTCCACCAGGGTTTCACCAGGGTTCCACCGGTTCCACGAGGGTTCCACGAGGGTTCCACGAGGTTCTGCCAGGGTTGCGAGGTGGTGCGAGCACTAAAACGAGCAGCGCATGCTGTTGGGGATATCACCTGAGCTTATTATTTTGGTATTCTTCTTCTTTTAAGCAACCTCTACCTTCAAAAAGCAAAACACAGCACGTCTTCAGGTCAACTCATAAGGCGTCCACAAAAATCCAGCGGTTTGGCTGCATCACGTCCTGGCCGAGGTGCTTGCTCCGGATCCTGCGGCTGAACGACGGGTCGCCGGGCCGCGAGCTGTGGATGCCCGGGGAAGACGACAAGGCGCCCCCAAATTCGCGCCGCGGGGGGGGGGGGAGGTGGGGAGATGAAGCGACTTAGCAGGGTTCTACTTTTTGAGTACCCCAAGATTGACTCAAACCCAGGGGTTCTCCCTTTGGGGGGAAGGAACCACCCCTGGGTTTAAGCCTCCACTTTGTATGGCTGTGGCTTAAACATAGGTGCCCAAAGTAAAAGGGAACCCTGGTAAATAAGGACCAAAACCTGCGGAATCCCTTGATTTTTCAGGAAAAACAGGTGTTCCGGGAACCCCCCGAACGTGAATTGATGGGAGGGTATTGCAAGCACGTCAGAAGTCAAAGGGTTTCGCATACAAAAAGCAATATGGCTGTGGCTCAAAAACATGTACTAAAATGGCACCTTGGTAAATGGAACCCCTTTGTCTCAAGCCTGCGGTTTGCCCTAGCTCTTAAATATTTTGAGCCACACCCATATGGCCATGGACAGTGAACATCCCAATCCCCACTAAAATAGGTTCTAAAATGGGCGGTGAATTCACCTGCCAACCAAAATGGGATCCCAAAACGGTTTTGACCCAGGGCCATATCATGGGGGCTGGGGGGGGAGGGAGGGGAGGGGGGAGGGAGCCCCAAAAAACCCGAAATAAGCCCTATTAAAACCTTATTTCGGGTTTCTTGGGGCTCCCCTCCCTTCCCCCAGCCCCCTCCCCCCCCAGCCCCCCAGCCCCCCAGCCCCCCAGCCCCCATGACCATATGTTGCAACTCTTCGGGCGCGTTGGGTCCTTTGAGCCACTCTTCGGCCGGGAGTTCTGAGGGCCCCAAAGGGTCTCGCTCGGTGAACCCGGGTCGAGCGAGCGAGCGAGCTTGCGCAGGCCAGGCTGAGGATGGCGGAGGAAAAGGTGGTGAAGATGAAGCAGGCGACTGAAACTGAAAAATCGCGCGAAAGGAGGGAAGAGCTGTGCAGAGCCTAGCTCAGAGCCACCTAGCTTTGCAAGTTAAGATGGGTTTGGTGTAGCTTGATATCTCCCAGCCATCCGGTTCTTTAGCTTGTTAGCTTTTTAGTGTTTAGCGGGAGTTTTCATTCAACAAGTTGAACTTTTTGCAGGGGATCTGACGGCGGCCCAGTTGATGAATTCTGAGGCATACACGCTGATCGAAGAAGGGGGTCCTTGAGCTCTCTCAGAATGGAGAATGTTCCCTTGTGGATGGTCTTGAAGCCAAGCATCTTTTGACAGCCACACAGTAGACACACTCGAGCCGACACAACTGGCGCAATAAGATGTGTCCATCACAAATTGTCAGGCATCACGTTGCTTGGCCTTGACGGACCGCTTTGAAACTGGCGGCTGTCCACATGGGTCTGTCTTTCTTTAGAGGACCCCCTAAAATGATGGTTTTCCTTCAGTTTCCCTTTAACCCAGAAAACAAAGGGGCACCAAAAACAGACAGACCCGCGTGTCATACAAGCGCTGAATGTTGCGCTGGCAATGGGGCCCATGGAGGTCAGACCTTGCCGGGTGATGGGTTCCTGGAGGCAACTTGGACCGGGGTTCTGAGTAACGGAACCGACCCGCAGAAGGCGCTTTGACTGATGACTCAAGATCGCATTTCTTTTTCTTGATGCAACTGCGCAGACCATGTCCTATGGTTGTCAATGGGGGCCCCTCAATCCCAATGGGGCGAGTAAAGACTAAAAAGGCCGAGGGGCTAGTAGGGTTCCTTTTTTTGGGGGTTTCCTGACGGGGTCCGGGTTCCTCATTTTCTGGCTGGCTGTCAGGGATGAGCAAATGAGCCGGAACCCGTTTTTGACTTTTCAGTGCAAGCCATCGAGCAGATGAGCAAATCGATGGATTCCAAGCACCAGCCAGGCGCTTGTTGCCTGCGAGCAGCAGGCCTGGGGTGTTGATCAGCTAGGACAAGTTTGATTTTGCCGCGAAGCGGGTTGATGAGACGTTTTGTTGTAGGTGTCAAAGTTCTTTGATCTCCTGCATATTTAGAGAGAACGTGTTTCTTTCTCGGGGACCCACAATGGATTCGGTTTTCCTTTTGGTTTCCCTTTAAACCCACCCGAAAAAAGGGGACCGACTCCAAACCAAGACGCACGCAGGTGCTGCGGTCGGACACCGTGAAGGTCAGCGAGAAACGGGCCCTTGAAGAGGAGGTCAAGGAGGCGGCGATCGATGAGAAATCTTTCCCCCAGAAAGGGTGTGTGGAAAATGAGAAACAACCAGGTCAACCGTTGGAAGCACCCATTTTTGTTCTAGCAAAACAAGCACCAAGGACGTGTGTGTGTGTGTGTTGTGTGTGTTGTGTGTGTTGTGTGTGTTGTGTGTGTTGTGTGTGTTGTGTTGTGTTGTGTTGTGTTGTGTTGTGTTGTGTTGTGTTGTGTTGTGTGGTGTGGTGTGGTGTGGTGTGGTGTGGTGTGGTGTGGTGTGGTGTGGTGTGGTGTGGTGTGGTGTGGTGTGGTGTGGTGTGGTGTGGTGTGGTGTGGTGTGGGTGTGGGTGTGGGTGTGGGCGTGGGCGTGGGCGTGGGCGTGGGCGTGGGCGTGGGCGTGGGCGTGGGCGTGGGCGTGGGCGTGGGCGTGGGCGTGTGTGTGTGTGTGTGTGTGTGTGTGTGTGTGTGTGTGTGTGTGTGTGTGTGTGTGTGTGTGTGTGTGTGTGTGTGTGTGTGTGTGTGTGTGTGTGTGTGTGTGTGTGTGTGTGTGTGTGTGTGTGTGTGTGTGTGTGTGTGTGTGTGTGTGTGTGTGTGTGTGTGTGTGTGTGTGTTTGTGCGCGCGTCGTTTTTTGAGGGGGGGCGGGGAGGGGTTGGCTTAAAGGGAAGCCAGAATAACAGCCGAAGTCATTTTGGTGGGGTCGCACTGTACAGGTCCCAAAAGAGGTTTCATGCAGTTCTGCAGAGTGCCCTGGCAATCTGACAAGGGTAAAGGTTTCGAACGCGGCTCATTTGCCTGTAGCAAAGCTCTTCTTTAGGAGGTTCATATCGCGGTTCTTGAGACATGTCGGCACTCTGAACGCAGGCGGAACGAAGCGTGGCCAAATCTTTGGAGGTGCTTGTGCAGGCTGGCCTTGCCGCCGGGGTGGGGTCTTGTTGTGGAGCTTCAGCGAATTGCAGAGAAGTGGCCAAGCCTTGGAACGCGGCAGCTATGTGGTCCCTCAACCAGGGCTTTCGCCAAGGCCAAAAGGCTGGAGCACTCACTGAGTTTGACCTACTACGTGCAAGGGGGATATCTGGATATCTATTGCCTTGGCACCCAACAGGTGCTTAGCTCTTTGGCCCTGCACGACCAAAGCCACGACCCTACGGGGACGCCTGGACTCCTCTTCCAGGACGTCGCGGAGATCTTCCAGAAAGACCTTGAGGCCGTGGTGAAGGCGTGGTGCCAGTGCCACGCAGACGCAGAACCCGTTGCGGGTTGGCTGAAACCTCCTTCGGTTTAGAAGAGTTTTTCAAGAGTTGGAGCTCTCCTGACATCTAAAGACAAAAGACAAGGGCGCCTTTTGTTGAACCAAGCAGCCAGGCATCACCGGACACAGGGGGAGCTTTGGTTGAGCTGGACATTCCGCCGTTGGCTGTCAGGCAGCCACGGACAACTTTGCCTGCCGGTATGGCGAGCCGCTGTTTGCATTGTCAGGCAGGGGGCAGACGGGGGAAACGTTGTTGGTAGGCGCAAGCCTTTTTTTAAGGTGGGGGAAAAGTGGGCCGACGGCGCCAGACAAACAGGAGCCAGGATCTGCAGTTGTCATCCTACACGTGGGACCTGCCTGGCCTTGTTTGGATTGCCTGAAGATTTGAAGGGGAAGCTTTGCCGAAAAGCAAGCATAGTTGGTTTCGAAGGGACCTGGAACCCTGCGAATATCATAATGATCCCAATTCGCTTTGATCCCATTTCTTGGCAATCGCCAATTGATGCCCAGCTGGGTTTGTTCTCGCTGTACTCGAATGGCTTCCAAGGCTTTGGAGGCTCCAGGCCCCTAACTGCTCATGTAAAGGTTTAGACTTTCAGACCCTAACTCCAAGCCGTTTGCTCGGATTGGTGGTCGCTTCAAAGGCCAAATGGAGAGACATTTCTTCTGCCCATTTCATAGCGAGCTCACGCCGGGGGGGGGGGATGACGAGCTCACCCTGATAAACATCCTTTACTTGGGGGTCCCTTTCGTCAGTTTTTGAACATATTGTAACATATGCAGATTTGTTTCTTCCGGGGGGGAGGAGCGGGGAGGCCACCCATGTTCAGGTGCGTCCATGTTTTTTCCTGGAAATGCCTCGAGGCATAGAGAGCTCAGCGCAGGAGTGAAATGGCGGCGTCCCATGTGGCTGTGGTTGTCAAAACCAATGGTACCATTTTGGGGTAGGTGAATTCACCACCCATTTTAGAACCTATTTTAGTGGGGATTGGGATGTTCACTCAAGGGGGGTACGGGATTTTGACCCATGGCCATGTGCTTGGGAAGGGCTGGAGATGGACACGCGTGTCCAATTTTTTTTGAGGCTGGCCGTTGGGTTGTTTTAAAGAGAAGCCAACGGAAACAGGTCAGAGACGTGGCCCTTGGCCGGTCTTCGTCTTTGCCGCCGTGAGTTCTGCAGCTCATCATTTTTCTTGATTTGGCCGGTGGTCAAGAATAGGTACCCAGAATGGAATCCTGGTAAACGCAACCAAGGACTAAAAACCAGCGGTCCTCTGGTGGCTCAATTTTGACCCACTCCCATTTGGAGACGTATGGCACACTCATTTGTGTGACGTAGCCAGCGTTTTTGGCTCCAGCGTGCGGCGCGGAAGATTTTGGAACTCGCCGTTCTCAGGCCAGGATTGGTCTCGTAGGTCGAGCAAGGTTGGCGTTGCTTTGACGGCCAGAGACGGATCCCGGAGCCGACTTTTCAGCCAAAGGCTTGGAGTTTTATTTGGAGACGTTGTTGAGCGGGTGGTTGGTTGTCCTTCCCTTTTGCGACAGACAATCCGTTGTCTTTCCGAAGGGACTACCTACCAGGTGGAGAGAAAAGGCGGGCTAATGTGTGTATGTGTGTGTGTCATTGTCGGAACAGGTCAAAGGGTCACCAAACGGACAACGATAGCCTCAGTCATATTGCGAAAGTGGATTCAACTTAGGTTGCAACAGCATCTGCTAGTTGTCAGTTTTCCATCCTTTGCGGCGACTGTGGCCCCGACAAGCCGGGTTGTGGCAAGTTCTTATGCAGCTGGTCAGCAAGTCGGTTCTCGCCATGGAAACGTGGGCGGGCTTGGGCCCCTCTCCTCAGACTGCGTCAGCAGTCCGACCTTTCGGGCTTCCGACCTTGCTTCTCGTGCTCATCTGGCCGTGGCTCAAATGTACCAAAATTGCTCCCTTGGCAAATGGAACCAAAGACTAAAACCTGCGGTTTGCCCTTCCTTCATTTTGAGCAGCCATCTCATCTTTCCCGCGCCAAGGTCCACGTCTCGAAACTTTTTTATTGCGCCGTTGGGACTGCGGGTCGTGGGCTTTCTTGAGGCCCGTCTCATCGCTGGATGCGGAAGATCAAGCCTCAACCTGCCCAACAGAACGTACAAAGGATTTATTTAAGACCCAGCTCAGCGGCACAGAGAAGCTTCAAAACAGGTGGCGCGGTGGCTCCCAAATGAACAGTGAGGCACTAACCCATCCTGAACCACCCTGAGCCCGCCCTTAAAGCTCATTCCCACCACTCATCCAAATCCCACTGCGAACTCACCCAAAATGATCCCAAGTGAATCTGACACCCAACCTGACGGAAACCCCTTCAGATCCAGGGTACCGGATGCCCGCCCAAAAAGAATGCCAGGTCAATGTTCCGCCTGCGGCAACGGGCGGTTGCGTGCGCCGCGCGGCGCAAGTCCACCGTCTCGGGCACATGGCCGGAGGCGGGACATGTGAAAGCGGAAGTCTGTAGGGTCTTGGAGTGCCAAGCACCACGCCAGGTCTTGGTAGACGTGGGATTTGAGATGATAGGAGTTTGGAGAGAGTGTTGAAGTGCTCCTCCTCAACTCACCCATTGTCCCATGTCCAAATTTCAAATCATGTGCATGCCTGCTCTTGACATGGTTTCTGAGAGATTCTCAATTCGCTCCATTTTCTCAGAGCTATAACCTCGACTCTTCATTTTCCCGAAACGTGGATGGATCTCCCAAGCATTCAGCACCGAGGTCGACTGAAAGTCGGACTTGCATGGCTTGGCAATTCCTGACTAGCAGCTCGCAGGAGTTCCAGTCGAGTCAGATTTTGCCACTTGGGGGTGTGGCTCATAAATAAAGAGATTTCCAGGGCAAACCGCAGGTTTGAGTCCTTTCCATTTACCAAGGTGCCAGTTTGGTATATGTTTTTGACCCACAGCCATTTCAAAGCACGTGCCAACTTGGAAGGATCGCAGGTGCCCGCTCGACACGACAGGCTGATGTTAGTTTTGTTCCCTCGCCCGCTGGACGCTTGCTCTCAGCTCCTTTCATGTCACACTCTTTCCTGGCCCAGATGGAACGCAGCACTTCAGTGGTTTGGGCAGGACTGAAGGCCCCCAACCAAGGCCCCAGAGCAAAGTCAGTTTTTGCTTCAGATGCATTTGGGGAACTCCTTCCTCAGGTTGCCTAGTGGTTGCGGAAGAAGTTCCAGGGAGACTTGTCCGACAGCCAACACTCTTGGCATTTAAAAAAAATGAAGAAAAAGGGTCAAGCGAGTTGCACATTTCCGATGGTTCCTTGTTGTCCCTTTTAGGCCGAGCTTTCCCTTTACAACCACCACCGCCGCCACTGGGTTCAGTTGAGCCACAATCAAAACCCAGGTAAGTGAAGGTTACTAAGGGACGATCCCAGCATAAATAGCTGTGGCCGCCTTCCTAGTTCTTTACCATTTTAATACCGGGTTGATTTGGACTCAGTTGTCGGTCAGGGTGAGATGAAGCTCGACACAAACTTTGTCCACGATGCTTGGCTGAGAGGTGAGCCCGGGAGTCTCTGACAAGTCACCCTCTAAAGATGACCATAGGTGTCCTTTTTTGGTTGGTTTGCTTAAAAAGTAGAGGGACCTGGTTTAGATGGGGTTTATGCCCCATTTACCAGGGAAACCCAGCTGTTTTTCCAAAAGGCCTATGCTGCAAAGATGAATGAGGCACAGGCGGATTTCACTTTGGCTGGTATGGTCTTGCGCTTCACTTCCATGTGGAAGGACAGACCTCATGTCGCCAGAGCACCTGCACGGTATGGCTAATTCTGAAGCTACGCACGCGACGCATATCTGCGACATCACAGACCGTGGCCACTCGCTTTGATGTGGGGTTTGTAATCCTTGCCCAGGTGGGGGTTTCCCTTTCCTCCCATCGCGTGTGTCTCGTCAGCCACTCTACACTTGGTGGCCCCCAGCCGTCCCCTTAGCTTTTTAGGCTTTTAGGGTTTAGTGGTAGTTTCCATTTCACTATTGAGCTATGTGGACTCTTGGAGACGGACACACAAACACACATGGACCTGTGAAATCCATTTGTTTGTCCAGGGCACTAAGTTGCAGCTTGAAGATAGTCTGCAAACCTCGAATACCAGTCATATCGCTTCGACTCCTGCGGATTCCCTTCCGTTCCGCGCACCGCGCCCAAGGCGGCGGTGACGCCGGAGCCGAAGAGCGGCCACTTGGCAAGGGGCCAGGGTTCCACTTTTTGACCCAAGAGTAGACTTAAACCCAGTGGCTCATTCCCCCCGAAAAGGAGACCGCTGGGTTTGAGTCCATCTTGGGGTGAAAAAGTGGCGGCCTGGGGGGCCTTGAAGGACCTGGGAGTTGTAAGCTGAGGGAAGCAAAGCTTGGCTTGAGAGAGAGGCCCATCCCGGAGGTGGTTTCCTAGGGACTCTTCAGGTTCATTCTCCCACCTGGAAGGGTCATTCCCTACTTGTCGCAGGCAAGAAAAGAGGCGGGGTCATTTGGGGTTGCCCGGTTTCTTTACCCAGAGCAGTGCAAAGACGCATTGAACGATGGCTCTTTGTGGGCATGGGATCAAGCTCGACCGGAAGAGAGATGTCGCTTCGCCCTTGTGGACTCGCCTGTTGAAGCCAAATTGGCAATGTGTGGCAAGAAATGAAGGGTGCCAAAGAATCACAACACTGCAGCATTTGGTTTGCTGCTTTTCAATAGGGAGGGTCTCTCAGTTTGTGTGATGTCCTTATGAATCTGCGCTGGACGACCCATGGCTAAAGGATGGGGAGTTGTCCACCTGTGAGATTGTGTTAGATAGCCACCATGCAAGTCGCTTTGGGCACTTATCAACAACGGTCCATGTGTGTAATTGGGTGGCAAAATTCGGCCTCGATTCAATTGAGTAACATTCATCCTGCCCCTGAAAGACATGGGACGGTTGCAAGTGATATCTGCCTTATTTGGCGAGCTGTGCTCGATACCCTCCCTTGTGAGGGCGTCCCTTCATGAGGCGCGATTCTGACGCCGCTCTTCCTCTCCACTACGTTCATCCAGGCAGGGTGCGAAAGGGCGAAAAGAGACATGGCTTTGGCTCAAAAAACCGGTACCAAATTGGGTTGCCCTGGCAATTGGAAGCATGGACCAAAACCCTCCTGTTTAATTTTGAGCCACACCCAAATGGGTGTTTCTTTTGTTGAGGTACCCTTGGTTTGGTTTGGAATGAAACTCCCCATTCGGAGGCAGCGGCAAGAAGAAGTCGATCTCTTTTTGTTCAAGCCCTTGGCAACATGCAAGTCATGCGGAAATCTTTTGATTCTGTCAGGGCTTCTTTAGTTGTCAGGTGGGTTTGTCTCAACATAGGGCACTCCCTCCCCCCAAAATGGGCGGTTTCTCTTTGAACCAACCCCCCAAACGCCTACCCTCAACATGTTTGTTCGTTTGTGTGCTTGCTTGTTTGTTGGCTTGTGTTGGGCTGATCTTTGTGACAGGAATCCGTGGAGAAGTACCTGGAAAAGGCGCCCGCGGGTCTTTGGGTGACTTGTGGTTCTCAGGCACCATGCTGTTTGGGGAGGCCGGATGGAAGGTAGAGGTCTCTTGACGGGGGGGTTCCAGAAAAAGGTTTCCCGAACAGCGAACCTGTAAATTTCCCTCGTGATGCATTCCTATTTCTCGATTGGACCATGGGTTAGAGTGGCAAAAGCCGTTGAGAGGGCCCCAATGCGCTGCAAAAAAAGAAAAGAAAGAGGACCCAGACCAATAACTGGGGGCCTAATGGGTGGTTTGGATTCCTGGTTTGGGACTTCCCTGAATTTGCTCAAATCACCAGGCTCCAAACCACCAATTGGAGGGAAGCTGAGTCTTCTCGCCCTTCAGCGATTCTCCGCGCGCGCTTCGAGCTTTGAGCGCCAGGGCTTCAGCTACTCCCGAACCAACAACCCCACCGTCACGGCGCTGGAACAGAAGCTGGCTGTGTTGGAGAATGGGCTCCTGGGCCGGAATGCGAGACACGTAAAGGGGAGATAGAGAGAGCGAGAATCGGACAAAGAGAGAAAGAGAGAAATAGAGAGAGAGAGAGAGAAAGCAACAACAACGAGAGAAAGAGAGAAAGAGAAATCGAGAATCGAGAGGGAGCGCTTGGCCAAGCAGAGAAAATGGACTGGAACATGGTTCAAACAGGTCCGCAAGGAAGTTCAGGAACGTACGAGAAAGACTCCAATGACCTTTTTTGACAGAGCATGCTGAGGGCTACTCTCAAACCAGGGGCATACCCATCACTTCGATGTATGGCCAGTTTGGGATTTGAAGCGCAAATGCCGGGCACTCACTCGGTTTCTCATGTCCTGTATTTCGGCCGCATTTTTTCACCTGACTCCCACAATTTCTCACAAGGGCAAAAAAGACCAGGTGACTCACAAGCTTTTGCCACGATGTTTTGCGAACAAGCAATCATGCGGTTGGTGCTTTGTGAGTCTGTTTGCATGCTGGCAACTGGCATGATCGAAGTCATGGATATGTATGGAAGCCAGGTGACTCACGTTTTTCTTTTGCCACGAGGGGCAGGCCATGCGTTGTGACTCCGGATCTCTACGCCACGAGTTTGGGTGTGGCTCAAAATTAAACAGGAGGGGTTACACAGGTTTTGGTCCATGTTTCCACTTGCCAGGGCAACCCATTTTGGTACCGGTTTATTGAGCCAATAGCCATCATGGACATGCCACAAGCAATTCTGTCCCTGGTGCTTTAGGATCGAAGTCATATGCATTTCGTGACTCTGGAGTTCTATGTCCTCCCTCAATTTCTCACAAGGCCCCAAATAAACCCCAGGCGACTCACATTTTTGGTGTGACTCTGGAGGTCCATCATCTCTCTTATGTACGCACAAGCTTCGCGTCACTCGTCGGCGGAGGTTCGGCGCCTCGGCCTTCGGCACGGGCATGGCGGCCACCACCAGCGCCATCTCGGCCACCATGCAGCGCCTCAGCCGGCAGAATTTGTGGGGCGGAGGTGGTGGAGGTGGCTTTGGTTTGCAGTTGGGTCGGGGGGTGTTGGAGGTGGAGGTTTTGGAACTGTTGGAAGTGTTGGAACTGCTGGAGGTGGGCTTGGTTTTCAGCCGGGTTGGAGATGGCGCCACACTGGTTTTAGGTTGCTTCGACTTTCATTTCCCACCCAGCGACTTTGAACGCTGAATTACACGGTTTGTTGCTGGCGGTTTGGGGATGTGCTTTTTCCAAGGGCAACCGGGGGAGGTGGTTTGGAGCCCTGGAATGGTAGCTTTTTGTTTTGGGGGGGGGGGCGTTGGCTTGTAAGCCTGAGTAGATTTGAGATGCAGGAGTCTAAAGAGTGAAACGTGTCAAAAGGGACTTGTCACTGCTCCACTTGCTTGCCATACAAAAGGTTGCTGCAATGACCGCCCCCGCGCCGGCAAGCCGCATCCTTGCACCTATGAACTACCGCCCACCTCGTTTTCGTTTTTTTTTTTTTTTTTTTTTTTTTTTTTTTTTAAACCTAGTTTTGAACCTAATTCAGTATGAACATGTTTTAGCTCCGCCTTTACCGTAATCTTCCGTAAATACAGGCGGTCGGTCATATGCCGAATTGACTTTGCTGTTCGCCTACCTTTGCTTTAGATTGAAGCATGCATTCAAAAATAAACTAGATGTTGCATGTGGATTGTGCAAATTGTTTGCCTTTGGTCTGCCTCTGATACACTCTCAAAGGGGCCTGACATTACTAGCTAGTGGACAATAATCTACAACATTTTAAGCACGACAGTTGGCAGTTGTGAGTGGATGTCTCACAAGGCGGTTCGGGTTCGGGGCACGCCACAACAAGGTCATAATTGTGGGTTCTCCAACGAGTTTCGATCCTGTTTTTAGCAGTACGCAGGAGACCTGCATCATGTTTGAAAACTAGCCCTTTCGGGACGAAGCAAATGAGGCAAAGTGAAGGCACTGAGTGTGTCTTTGCACTCATGTCCTGTTGCGGTAGCATCTTCAGCGATTCTGATAGCTGGCATGTGTCATGAGAAATTGCAATGTGCTGAGGGCTGGTGACCACTGCGTGCCTTGGCTTGAAATGGCGTGTTGTTTTTTCCCCAGATTACTTCTAAGGAGGGTTTTGCAAGTTGGGACCAGGTTGGTGCTGCAGGTGCTAATCTCAAGGTGCTGTGATGGTTACTAGCGGTGCTTGTTTTGCGATGCTGCCTGGATGCTGTTGTGGGATGTTGGTCAAGGTTCTGCTGCGATTGCTGGTCAGGGTGCTGTTTGGGGTGCTCATGGGAGGGTGCTTCTTGACGTGCACAAGGTGCTGTGGGGGCATGCAGTCAGGGTGCTGGTCAGGGGTGCTGGTCAGGGGTGCCGGTCAGGGGTGCTGGTCAAGGGTGCTGTTGAGGATGCTGGTCAGGGTGCTGTTTGTTTGGTGTGTGCAAGGTGGCGTGGGGTGCTTGTTTTGTGATGTAGTCACGGTGCTGGTCAGGCTGTTCCTCTTCTTTTTTGATGGTGGGGGGGATGGGAACCACTTTTGGTTGGTTTCAAAGGCAACGCGTATGGAGACCAACCATTTTTGAGTTGCCCGCATTTGGAGACAAATCCAGGTGAGTCTGAGGGTTGGGGCAGGCCGAAGAGCCAGACAAACTGGCACTTGCAAGTGTATCTTCCCTTCATTTCATCCAATCAAGTTGTTTCTGTTTTTTGGCACCAACTCACAGGGAGCGGGCGGACTTTCAATGTTTTTAGGTCTAACAGCTGCCCATAGTTTTTGGTTTGGTTTGTGTTTTGTGTTTATTGTTTGTTTCTAGGCCTTTGGTTGAATGCAGTTGTGGCAAGCAGTTGCGGGGGATTTCGAGGGTCCGGCCTTGGGGGGTCTGTCGGATCAAAGAGAATCAGCCAGCTCCTGCCTGGCACAGCCTGAGCCCAGCTGGGGCATAAGTCTGATACAAGTCTCATAAGGCAACACCTTTTCGGATTTTTCACAAGCTGATGTCCATGTGCTTCTCAGCGCGCGCCTCGCAGGTAGAAAAAGAAGGGAGGTCTCCAGTTCCACACGCCGAGTTGCGGACAAAAGCGGTGTTGCTCTTTACGTCTCATGGCCAGACGTAGCTGCGGCGTCCTGCCGAGGTCATCTCCGACTGCTCCTACGGTGGCACCAACAGGCCAGTTTTCAAGCCACCGGAGGGCATAGACCGGCATTTGGTCAGTTCACCCGACGGCTCGGCCAAGACTCGTGGCCCGAAGCCACAGCCACAGAATGAGACAAAAGATCCAAAAGATCCAGGATGCAAAATAGAGGAATCAGACATCATCTCGACCTTGACACTCCACCGATCTACTGAGAAAAAACGTGTGACGTGCGAGCTCTTCTCAGCCGCCCCCAACCACCCCCCCCCCACGCCCCCCTCCCCCCGCGCGTTCCTCCCTCCCCCGCCAGGTCCTGCCGGGAGTTCTTCACCCCGCTGGGCATGGAGTTCACTTTCGTGGACTTCCGTGACATCGAGAACGTGAAGAAGGCGCGAGACTTCAGGGCGATGCTCCCAAAGCTTGGGCTTGGTTGCTCAAAATAGGATCGGTCCCGGATCCCCCGGAAAAACACGGTGGGACCGGTTTCCTTTTTTGGCTGGCCTGCAAATACAGAAATGCCACAAGCGGTCCGTTTCGAGAAGAAATCCCGTTTGGGGTCTGAAGTTCTAGGCTGCAAGCGCGGATTTCGATGCTTCGTTGCAGGTGGACTTGAGACTTGGAAGACTGGATGGGAAACAGCAAGATGGTCTTAGTTTGGACCATTGGCAAGACGCGCTGGTGAGGCTCGGACATCTGTCCTTTGACTCCTCGAGCACGTGTTCGATCCCGCCCCCGAAAATGAGCGTGTCCAAAAAATCGGGGAAGCCCCAAATGGGTCGCTTCCCGTAGGCTTCACGTTTAAACCCAATGGGTCGTTTCGGAACAAAGACAGTCTTCCATTGGCTTAAGGATATTTGCTTTTTGTCCTGTTGGTTTTAAGGGGAATCTATCACTATGGGACTTTTTCCAGGGGGCGAAAACGCAAATGGAAGACGTCCAAAGGGTTCCATCGGGTTCGCGTCCAAACGCTCAGTGAGTCAAGAGGCCATGAAGCCCAACACCAAGCTGGTCTTCAGCGAGACTCCGGCCAACCCGGTCCTGCGTGGGGCTGAGGGGAGCCATGTGGCCGGCGATGCTTGGGGTGCCATGTTTGGTCTTGGGTGAAAGGTTGGTTTGGTTGGTTGATTGGGGTCCCATTGCCAATGGATCATTCGAATCGATGTGAACAAATAGTTCGCTTGTGGCTCCAGTGACAGTGGGCCAATGCCGGCCCTTCAAATGAGATGATGTGATTTGATGCCCATAGCCATATCCTAGGAGTTTGTCTTCCATCATTCCCAACATGCAGGATGCGGCAATGCAAGATTGACCCGTGGTTCCAAGAGTCTTGACCATTTGTGAAGCATGTTCCAAATCTCCGTTCCCACGCCAAGATGTGACGATGTGGGGCCTTTGGTTTTTTTCCAACTCCCTTCCCAAAAGAAACAGACAACAAAAACATGGCTCGACTCTAGCTCTGGGCATGGCGTGGGCATGGCCATGGCACGGTGGCCCCAGCCACCCCAGCCACCCCAGCCACCCCAGCCACCCCCCTTGCCGCGAGGTCGCTGACGGACATCGAGGCGGTGTCGGCCATCGCCAAGGCCCACGGCGCCAAGCACGTGGTGGATGCCACCTTCGCCACCCCGGCAGGGGGGCCCGGTGGGCCGATTCGATTCGGCTCGCCCATTTTCTGGGGGATTCTGGGGGGGGATTTCTGGGCGCATGCGTGTTTTTTTTTGTGGGTCTGGGGGGTTTTGGGGGGTTGGGGGGGGTTGGGGCTTCTGAAGTCAGATGGAGCGCTTCGAAGGTAAGGTTGTCCAATTTGATTGACTGGGGGGCAGCAAAGCAAAAGAAGCTGTGAACCTCACACAAGCCTGTGTCGCTTCTTCGCGGAGAAGCGGCGTGGGCTGGGGGCCCACGTGGCGCCTTTCTGGAGGCCTCTAGGAGAACTTTTGGCTTTTTCTTTTCGGCACTTTTGGCTTTACTGGATTTTGTTGTGGCCCAGTTGAGCGTGATAGAAACCTCACGATCTTGCAGATCCCTAAGCTCAGGATGGCGAGTAGCTCTCATTCTTTGGTTGCTCTCCAACCTGTGAAGCAAAAGAACTCTTGAGGGGAACCATCGGAATCTTTGCATGCTTTTTGGGCATGTGTTTTCGGGACACCCTTCCCCCTGTCACGTGTTTTGGGGCCCTGGGCAGACCGTGTTTTGTTTTTGTGGCAAATCGAGGTGATTTGCCGGCCGCTGGACTGGGGCGCCGACATGGTGCGCTTTGGCCAGGCAAAAAAGTCCCAAGGGAACACCCTGGCCACTCTGGTTTTACCCCGTCGCTTTCATCAAAGGCTCCTCTTTCGGGAAAGGTGTTGGTGGGAAAATCGGAAAGGGTGCGGACCTATAGGACCTCCGACATTGCACACCGATCTATGTTGCCATGCATGGCCAGTGTGACTGATCAACGCCAGCCGATGCAGCGTTTGAAGGTCAAGGGAACTCAGATTCCATGCCCGCCCCCCCCCCCCCCCCGCTTGCCCCTCATGAGATTCCCGCTTGAGGCGTCAGCAAAACCATCGAGACACGATCCGAGGATTCAGAGCCTCACCAAGTACTACGAAGGCCACAACATGATGACGGGAGGCAGGGCGCGAGCTTTAAGAAAAGGCACAAAGCTTCTGAGCAGAAGACCTCAGCCGCTCCGCAAGAACATGCCCAAGGCAAGGTCGGCTTTCTGCGCGTTTCCCACAAGCAAGCAAGGCATGTGGACTTGGGTATGTCTCTTTTTTGGGGGTGAACGCCCTCCCAAGAGAGCAGTGGTGGTGTTTTCTCTTTTCCCAACGCCCCAAAAGTGGTTCCCTCCAGCATGGCGTCAGGTGCGGTCATCTCCAAGGACCAGGAGATGCACGAGAAGGTGAAGTGGGCGGAGCCCTCAGCTTCCGAGAGATGGCCATGGGCGTGCAGCGCCCGCCCGTGGGCTAAAAAAAAAATTGGTCGCAGGGACTTGGGGCCCGGGCTTGGTGTTTGTTGACGCCGAGGTTGCGAGGTTTCAAAGAGACCTTTCTGGGCTGGAGGCGGCTTTTGTTGTTGCTCAGTAAGGTTTCAGAGCATTTTCGGATCTGGAGCCCCAAAGAATCTCCTCAAGCAGGGTGGTAGAAGCCAGGATGAGTTAAACTTATGTTGGGAGCCGATCGTTGTTTCAGCCACGGGTTGAGGTGCAGAACGTCCATGGCAACATCATCAACCCTTTTGCGGCCTACATCATCTTGCAGACCAGCCACCCGGAAAGCAGCGACAGAGAGTTGAGCGCAAGGTTGGCAGTTAAGGTTGGCAGTTCCAATGGGATGTGTTCAAATGCAAGGGGTCACCGATTCTCCAGGGGATTGCTGGAGTGGTGTTGATTCGGGCATGCTGTTCACATAATGCCACCAAAATTGACAAATTCATAGTATGTCGGTCACGTCGCCATGGGCCGCCAGCGGGTCGAAGAGTTTAAACGCTGTTCGCTGCACGCCTTGGTCAGGCTCAAAAGAACCATAAGAGCAATGCGGGCTTGAGCCAATGATGCCGGTTGGATTGAGCAGTCTGGTGGGCTGCAGTGCAATGTGATGGCCAGGAACTTGAGCTCGAGCGGCAGGGGCCGAACACTGGTCGGCCTACGCTGGCAGGGTGGTTTGGGCTGAGCGGCATGGGCTGGGGAGGCACGCCTCGAGTTGGGGGCTGCCTGAGCCTAGCTCGCGCCAGCCTGCTTCCTGAGAGGAGTCGCGACCACTATCCCCTGATCTGGCGGTAGTCCGGGCGACGCAGTCGGAAACGTGGGCTTGGATCCACGCCCCGGCAACAACCTGAGCCCAGCGCGCGATTCAAGCACACGATCGCCAGAGCCAGGCGTGGAGCAAGCACATGACCTGGACCTCGCTGCTGGAACAAACTCGCACGCCTTGCTATAGGAAGGTTTTTCCCTCTTCTGCAGTTCAAAATCGGGATGGGAATCATGGAGGCTCTGGGGGCTGACTTTGGCGTGCTCACAGCCGCCAAGCTGTGCAGCTAGAGTTAACAGGAGCTGCGACGGGCTTGGATGGTGAGAGCTGCGGGCTGGTTGCTGCGCTTCGGCTGGGCCTAAGTTAGCTTCCGCCGTCCAGTTGGAAGCTAAAGCAGTTCACGCGGGCTGGGCGCGCGGAAGTCCAGTGGGGTCGGCCATGGGCCATCACACCAACCAAGGGGTGCCGAAAAAAGGGCCTTTGTTTGATGCGCAAGGCGCGCGCGCGGTGAGAAGTGACTGCTTTGCGATGAGATATTTGGGATTATACTTTTTGGTGGCTTTGACTGAGAGCTGTGCACTGGCACGAACCCTTTGGCTGCCTCCTTTTTGAATTCGGGACGGCTTGGGCCACAGTGCGTTTACCTTGGGTCAGCGCGAGCAAATGTGCAGATTGCCACCCAAGGCAAGACGATGCATCTCCGAATGAGGCACAGCGATTCTGTCGGGATGCTCATCACAATCCAACATCCTCCACCTTGCATGTGGCTCACAAGTGACATGAAGAGGTCTTTCTGCTGGGGGAATGAGGCACCTGCAAGTTCCATTCTTTTTTCCTCGTGAGACTTGCTTGTAGAGTATGCTTGGTGAAGGTTTTGTGAGGTCCCGGGCATCGCCGTTCCTTTGCCCAACTCCAGCCGATGCTTCGCAGAGCGCTTTTCGCCAGGCAGCAGAGCGAGAACGCCATGGCGATCGCCCAATTCTTGGAGAAGCATCCGAAGGCGCGCCTTTTGGCGCGTGAAACAGCGAAACACTTCGCGCCTGGTGTTAGAACGAGGAATCCCTTCAGTGCGACGGACTTTACAGCGAGAACGCCGGAAGTCCCCCGTCCCCGTCCCCAAATAACGGGTGGGTCCCAATCCTTGGAAACACCCATGTCACAGCAACAGTCAAGCTTCACCATCATCTCGGGAAAAGGAGGCGCATGAACCGGGACACGGGAGCAAGATCGTTTCCACACCAAAGTCGCATGGGGCTCACATCTCGGCAGATGGCATCGGAGATGGCATTGACTATCTGATGTTTTTGTTTGGGGGACTTCAATCCGATGGTTGATGGTTGTTTATGAGATCTGAGCAGTTTGGAGGGTTCGTGTTTTTCCTTTTCCCACCCGGAGAGGTTGGGTTGTAGTCGTGGTGAGTCCCTAGACTGGCAGGATGGAGTCCGAAGGGTTGGTGTTTGCCTTGCAGCTGCTTCGTCGGTTGAACTTTGAATAAAGCCACCCGTCCCAAGAAATCTAGAACACTATTCTGGGGTAGACTTAGGATACATTTTACATTTTTCCAGTGACTCAAAGGGAAGCAAACAGTAGAATATTCATTCTATAACTGGGCTTAAGTCTAATCATGTATTGTTCTCCTTCTTTTCAGCCGACCTGCGAAAACGATACATCCAGAAGTGTTGGATGAGAAGCGAGCGACTCGCAGCAAAAACAACGACCGTCGGTGTTCTCCTTGAGTGCAGGTCACCAAGGTGGTGCAACTTGGCAGGATGTGGCAGCAACGGACAAGAGACAACGCTAACGCTGTGTCCCCAAGCCGACTGAGTTGGTTTTGAAGGTTTCTTTACGTGGACAAGGAGTAGAGATGTTGTCGCCAACTTGCACATGGATGTGATGGATTGGCAGGCAGGCATGCAGTCAGATGTGCAGGCAACAGAAGGCGGATGCCGAGGCCAGCTGATTTGCTGGCTTCTTTTTTTGGCTTTGGCCCAGATCCAAGGGTTTCTTCAGGCCCAACTCCCACCAGCGCAGACAGGATAGTTGAGTCTGCAGGCGTAACAAAACATGGTGGGGGTTGATCAAAAGGTCCAATGAACATGGGATGACCATTTGGGGGAGCCAGTAAAAAGATGATATTTGCTACATGGGAAAAGTTACCCATGGTCATTTGAGCCACAATCAAAACTCAGGTAGATGAAGGTTAGGAAGGGACAATCCCAACCATAGATTTGGGGGCCGGATGACCTAAAAAGATGATATTTGCCACATGGAAAAAGTTGCCCATGGTCATTCGGGGCCATGAATATTGATCAACCCCCATGTCTGTTCAGTTACCCAAGAGCCGAGTCGACTGTCCATCTCCGAGGTATCCCGGGCTGGCCTCGCACCCACAGAAGGCCCTGGCAGACAAGCCCGGTGGCCCAAGGGAGGGAATCGATGTAGGACGAAACTGCCCGGAGTTCCATGAACTGGCAATCCAGGGAGTCACCTGAAACCAGGGAGTCACCTGATTCCTTGAGGGAGCTAAGGAGCTACGGGCATGGTCGCCAAATCGGCGTTTCAGGGAAGCGCCGCACCAGGGCCCTTTTCGGGCGTTTCAGTCGAGTCAGACAGCTTCTTGGCTCCCAGGTACCACCGGGATGGTCTTCATGGTGGCATGCTGTGGCTACTTGGTCAGAGGAATTGAGCAGGGCTCCTTAAAAGATCTCCATTTTGCAACCATTTGAAGCATGTTGCCTTTTCCACCGGGAAAAAAAAGAAAAAGAGGAAACCACCATTTACAAGGCAATGTTCAGGTGTTTCTATTGTAAGGATCCTTCAGGCGCCTCAGGAATTGAGGCGCACAGGGAGTGCCACGAAATGCCCCACCCTTAAGGAAGACTTCCTCGCGAGGTAGGATAGAGGGAGATCAGCGGTGCTTAATGTAGTCAGGCCACATTGGGTCGAAGGTGTAGGCTGGCGTTTGGGATGCTTGGATTCAGGAATCACCATGGTGCAGGGTTTGTTTTCGCTGGCTGCTTTGGTCTATGCTTAAGTTCAACCCCCCACTAAGTTTGTGGTTGCGGCGCGGGGGGGGGGGGGGTGGGAGGGGTGCAGATCTCCCAACCAAAGCAGAGGCTGAATGGTGGCGCCTTTTGGGGGAGAAAGGCGGTCGAGTTCCACTCGTCGAAGGTTTGACATCGAGGGCGGATCGGCAGCCGGCACAAAGCTCATGAACGTGGCTCGGCCGCAAGGTGTTGGGCAGTTTGCCACAAAGGGTGTACCCTTCCTCCCACTAACATGACGTATTTGTGGAAGGCTACCTGGAAGGTCATTGTTGCCCCCCTTTCAGGGAAGCTCCCACAACTGTGGGCAAGCTCAGCTAGCTTAAGGTTGGGATACAAGAGTTCGGGATGCTTCTCACTTCTCACTTGAGAACCCGCAGCCGGATGCGAGCATCGGGATGCTCAGGATTCGGATCACGCCTTTTTTTGGCCCCTCCTCGCTGAGAAAAAAAGGGCTGGTAGGAAGGCCTTCCAATCGAGCGATGGTTAGGCGGTTGATGCTCCCAACGATTGGTTTCAACGGGGGGTTCCAGCTCCAGCTCCCTAAGCCAAATGGGGGGAAGGTAACCTGAGGTTCAAAGCGAACCAAACTAAATCACCAATTCGGGGTAAGGTGAAGCCTAGCAGAAGCCGCTGCCTTAAAGGTGCAACCGTTTTTTTTCTTTCTAAATACTAATCAGAGACCAGAGGCCAAAAGGGAACATGCCGTGGCACCTGCTGGCAAGATCCATGGAGTGCTAAAGGTGCAAGGGGGGCCGGTCAAGTCCTGGGTTCCTTGCAAGTGGCCATCACCAAGTCAACAAGACCTTCCTCGCTTTGGAAGAGTCGTGGATTTTGGTATGTCCCATCTGCAAACAGGTCATCTACTCTTTTTTTCCCCCGCTTTGGACGGGTCCTGGATTTTTGTATGTTTCGTGTACCACATCAGCAAACAGGCGGTCGATTTCTCGCTTTTTTTCTTCTTCTTTTTTTTCTTTTAATTCTCTCTCTTTTTTTTCTCCTTTTTTTTCTCTGTTTCTTTTTTTTGTGGGGGGAGGTGTGCCAGCGGCCCTGGAGCCTCTGCGAGAACCTGGGCGCCACCGAGCCGCTCGGAAGGGCCATAGGGGGTTGGTTTCAGCGGATGGGGATCGACGTGGAGGCGGGGGTCGACGTGGAGGCAGGCGACGTGGGCTGATGTTGGGCTTGTGGAAGGTGATGCTGATGAAGATGATGATGATGGTGGCTCACAGGTCTGCACGTTTTGCATGGCGAGCTTGGAAGACATGGTCCCCGAAGGATGCTACCGAAGGGTGCCCCAATTAAAGTTCATACAGGCACCAAGTGAAGCGGACCTGCCAGAGCAGGCAGGCCGTAGACAGCCCATACATACTGGTTGGAGGAGAGATCTACAAAGCTGGGATATGAGCCGCTGGAGGGTGCTATAGGCTGATTCCTTTTTTTCAGATGCAACCTAGTCCGCCCTGCCTGATGTTCTTCCTGTTGCAGCTCGGAGCCTGGTGGCTTTGCGCTGCGGGCCGAGGAGCATCATCACGGCCTGCGCGGTCATGACTCATGCCAACATGCTGAAGGAGGACCGACTAAAGGCGGGGATGGTCGCGTCTAGGGTCCTTGTACATCGCGCCTTCCTCTTTTGTTCTTTCCTTATTATTTATATCCTTGTTAGTTTCTTTCTTTTCTTTCTTTCTTTCTTTCCCATTTCTCTTTTTCTTTCCTTCTCTGTCTGTCGCTCTCGCGCTCTCCTTAAATTTGCTAGCCCTCAGAGGGAACCCAAACCGGGTATGGAGAAAGGACCAAATGAGGTCTGTGAAGGAGGGGGGGCTTCTTGTACCGACTGGTCCTAAATGCGCATGGGATGTCTCATAGCGCTTCACTTACTGACCACTTCTGGGCCAATCTTGCTTCATGTTCTCTTTGGTGGAGGAGTATGTTTAGGCAATATGTATAATTATATATATATATATATATATATAAACATACGAAGAAGCCCGCTCCATCACACAGGTCGGCATCACTGACGGCTTTATCCGTATCAGCTGCGGCATCGAGGACGGGTGGTTGCTGACGAGTAACAAAAACATGACCTCGACTGGCCCCAGGGGAAGCATCGCCAGCAATGGTGAGTATTTTGCCTGGGGGTTCTTGGGTTTAATAGGTGAACGATTTCAATCAGATCAACTCTGCCAAGTCCTAATGAACCAATTTAGTGATGCCGACTGCAATAGGTGAATGAAAGCCGCCTCACCGAGGCGGCCGTTCTTGCAAAGACCCTGATGACCGCCATGCCAATGTATTGGATCAGCTGCTGATCTTGGTAAGGCTGTGGCACATCCACATTGGCGAGGGAAGCTTTGAGCTGCCTAGCAAAAGAAGCCCGCAGTCGAGTGCATGACAAGGGCGTCCCAATCTACGTACACCATTTTGTGTTGCATTCTGTTTCCAGACAAGTCCCAGTAAGCTGTGCAGAGGTGTTCTTTCAGCTTTGTACAATGGCCTCTCCACATCGACAAGGCTTGCTTAGAGGAAGAGCCAGGAACATCGGAGTTTTGTTAGTCTCACAGCAAAACTGGTTCTGGTCCCTGTGGAAAGCTGATTTCCAGATACACCGCCTTGCTTTCATGTTGTTCTTCGGTTAGCTGCACAGGTGTCCGGCTTGTGCGGCAGCAAAGCGCCTATTTGGAGCGAGTTCGGCTCGGCGCGGGGTTCCGGCCGCTCGTTGCACGATGCCAGGATAAGGGGGACCTTATCCGCGCGTTGGAGACGGCCCTGGATCAAATTTGAACAGGTTAGGCGCCAAAGCTGTTCGGCTTTCGAGCGAAGGCAGATTGCTGGATGTGACCTGGATTCAGCCACCGACATGAAAGGGTGATGCCTGCGGCGGAAGCGAGCTGTTGCTTGGACTTCACATGACACCACTTGCCACCTGCGTGAGGCTTGAAGGGCATGTCAAATCGGAGTTTGGATACGTTTTGTGTGAGTCACACCTCAACAAAGCCTTGGTCTGTGACGGCCCAAGTTAGATTTGCCATTTTGCATGAGCATGTGGCTTTTCGTTCTTATTTGCTTAGCCAGCCTGCACAACTCAGCCTAGTAGCGTACGGGAGGAATGCTCTGATACTTGTGAGTTGATTCGCGCCACACCTTTCGGCTCAGCATTTGGCATTAAAAGGAAGCCGTGGCTCATGTTGGCTTCACCCGACCACGAGGGCACGAGGAAGCATTGTACGCAATGGTTCTGCGGCCCTGAGACTCAAGAGAACCCGGAAGCTCAACCCGACTTCGGAATGCATGCCAATGGCTTCCGTGGGCTTATCTTTACCCACCGCACACAAAGCGTCCTACGCACGGACGCGCACCGACTCAGATGGCTATGACTTTTAACAGGGAACCTGAAAAGTGGTTGGTGGACACAAATCCCACCTAAATGATGTCCACCAAAGGATCCCTTTTTTAATTCACTCACTCACCCCACAACGCTTTGGGCTTTGCAATGGCTTCGCGCCTCTTTCATGTGGCAAGGCGCGGGGAAGCGCGGAGAAGCCCGGGTGAGGGCGGCTCGTCTTGTTTTGAGGTTGCCCTTTTCTTTGGGGGAAGCCACGAGGAGAACCGAACCCATTTTGAGGGTCTCCTAAAAAAAAGACTCCCATGTGTTTCTGGCTTGGAATGTAGCTGTTGATGCGACCTGGCAGTGTTGATGACTTTGGCTTCGCGATGAGTTCTTGATTTACATCCTGGGTCTCTCACCTAGTGCGTGTGTTACTTGTGCTCTTTTCGCCGGCGTTACTGAACACTGCTGTATATTTATGTTTCTCCCTCACTCCTCTACTGCTTTTCATTTGAGGTCCCCAAACCCAGTTGACAGTTTCAGGCGGTGCTATGGCAAGTTACCTCCGTCGCAGTGATAACCCTAGGGTTTGCAAACCATCAGAAAGGACCGTGGTTAGTTGTGACAATCTACTAATCCCAACGATCAAAATGCATGTGTTTCTTCATTTTTGGACCCGAAGCCACTCTCTTTTTTTCTTCTGGGGGCGGAGGGGGGATACGGGCGGGGGATTTACTGACCTGTGATTGCCTTACTCTTGTCTGTCCACTCTCGTGGCTTTTTCAGTTCAGCAATGCCGACAACCCAACAACAAACAGCCACCCTCCTGTGCCTCATGGAGCCGTGTTCGCCGAGCTTTGGCACTATCACATCCTGTAAACCATTCTTAGCGTCTTTGGCTGTGTGCAGCATTCGCCACGAGGGGGTTTTCATGCGGTCTGCATAGGCACTGACAATTGCTTATGATGCCTGTTGCTTCACCCCTTGTTTGGTTTGGACGATTTGTGTGTGTGTGTGTGTGTGTGTGTGTTTTTGCCATCAGTCCCAGTTTTCTGTGCGCGACCCACAGCAAGATGCCTCAGTTTCGTACCTTGACCCAGGATTCATAATCTCTGGTTTGTTTTTCGGGAATCCTTCAGCCTCTGTGACAGGCCCCTCGCCTTCGCCGCCGTGTTCCCTTTCGCACGGCGGGAGCCGAAAGGCCAAGAGGCATGCAAAAGAAGAGGCGGGGAAAGGGGACTTGAGCCACTGGACATTTTACACCCAGATGCGCTAGGGGGTTGATCAATGTTCCCTTCGGCGGCCAACTTTTGTGGGAAATCTCATCAAATTAAAGATGATGTCCAACCAATGGTCATCCCATTTTGATGAACCTCCAGATGCTTAAATTTGTTTCTGATCATTTGCCAGAGCCGTCTAGATTTTGTTGCTTCCCGGAAAATGCGTTGGAAGGGGGGGGGAGTGGAAGAGCGCGAAACATCTTCACTTGTGGAGAAATGCAGGGTTTGAGCCAGCAAGGGATGTTGTCCAAGGCTGCGGCTTTCCTTTTTTGAACCCAGCTGGCTTTCTGGCGCCGCCAATGCATAGGGGTCGCCATGTTGACACCCAGGAGCGAATGGAGAAATAGTTTGCACTTCGCAAGTTGAGTCGCCGTGTGGGATGGATCCACCTTTCACGGCCTGTTCGAAACGCATGGTCTAGGGGAAGTCTGGTCATTCGTCCGCAGGCGTTTCCTCAGGTCCCCAGTGTCGGCAGTTCATGATGGGGGCGAGACGTTTTGCGTTTCACTGGGCCACGGTTGCATGATCGGCCGAGGGACGGTGGGTTCCGTTCAGAGCGACCGCAATGCTGAAAGGTTTTGGCCGGGATTTGGACCACCGTGGCGGCAGGGGTCATGTGGTTCGAATCCACTTGGCCTTGTCCAGCGTGCCAGGACAGAGGTGGTTCGCGCCGATCCCATGTGCACATCGTAGTCCGGGGCTTGGCAGACTGCCCGCCATTTCAATTCGCGCATGCCAAGGAGCCTCCAGGATTTGTTCCAGCAATGGGTTTTGTGCTTCCAAGCGTGCGTAGGTATAGTACCGGGGTTGGGACACCTGATTCCTGGATGAAAGGCAGATTGGAGCAAGCAGGGGACCTCTTGGATTGTTTCTCTTTCAAGTGCTCCGGGTCTTCAGTGGCTGTTTGCACAGCACCCCCCTCATTGCAAAGACCCTTGAAAGGAACGGCTGTTTCCATGATGTCGTGAGAACGTCACCGCATCCAACGCTGTTCGCCGAAGGCCACAGAATCCACGAGGTTGTAGAGACCACTTGGGCCGTGTTTCGACCTGTCCAGTGTGGGAAATGAAGCTTGGCCTGAGGCCTGTGGTGCGAAGAGCGGCCGAAGGTTGCCATCGGGATCGATCTCGGGACGACCTACTCCTGTGTGGGCGTATGGAAGGCGAGTTTGAGGGCTTGGATTTTCACCTTCTTTCAAGTGAGCGGGTCGTGCAGATTTGGCTCGCTGAACGCCTATGCCGTGTTGAAGAAGGGAATCTTGTAGTACCCAGGAGATGGGCTCGGCTTGTTGGGTCGATTTGCTGAAATGAATGTTTCTCTTTACCCTGTTTGTTTTTAAAGGGGAATAAAGCAAATGGAGGATTGCAAGACACACTTTGCATTGATCCCCATGCGGAGGGACTCACTAGCGGCATGGCGCTAAGCTTTTGCAAGACCTCCAAGCCATCAACCCATGGGGCCGCGGAATGATGGTTCGACCCACTGAGCCACTGAGCTGTTTCGTGATTTTCTATATCTTGATCTGCAGATTGTGCTGATGAACGGTGTGTGCGTGTGTTTGTGGGTGGGTGGCTTCGATGGACTGCTTGTTCAACTCTTGTCAGCCAAGGATGTTTTTGAAGGGAGCTCTGTTCTGGAAAGTGCCGAAACATGAAAGCGACCAAATCCATGTGTTGTGGGTAGTGTGAAACACCGAGTGTGAAAGCACCGCAGTCATCCTGCCCGGCATAGCGTGAATGGAACAAACTGGATGTTGCCCAGCTTGAGGTTCTGCAACCTACGTCCCAAAAATGGGGCGCTTGGACTAGAATTGCCTGCCGCCAGGGCCCAACTCGCATCCCAAGCGCGAGTTGGTTGCTCGCATCGTCCTTAGGTGATTTTGGCTAGAAATAGATGGCACGGGTTTAGGTTGGTTTGATTCCATGGACCAGGGAAATCCATTTGCCCCAAAAGGACACCTATGCGTGTGGGAAGCCGTCAGGATGGGGGCGTGCAGATCATCGAAAACTCCGAGGGCAAGCGCACGACCCCGTCCTTCGTAGCCTTCACGGAGGCCCGGTCTGCCGACCGGGAGACCCGGAAAAGGGGGGGGAGGCGCAAGAGACACGGGCGAGCAAAGGCAATGCACGGAAAGCCCAAGAGAGAAGCCGGAGATGGAGTTAGCAAAGAAACTTGTTTCTGACCTTCAGTGGCAAGAAGGGTGTGCTGAGTCAAAAGAGCTTGTGGTGCGTTGGCATAGCTGTAGTGCAGGGTTTGAAGGATTATGACATCCAAGCACATGACTCGCATGTTGCTTGCGCCATAGGGTTCTGATTGCCTAGTTTGCTCCACACCGCTCGGAAATCAAAGGCCCGTGTCCGCAGAGAAGGTTTCCTGGCCACTTGTCCACTTTTGGATGACCCCAAGATGGACTTCAACCCGGTCCTCCTTTCGGTTGCAAATGAACCAAGGTATCACGACCATTCCACTTTTGGATTGCCCTGGACTCAAACCTTTTGGGGTCCTTTTGGGGGCCAAATGGGTCTGGGTCAAAATTAAACCGCCAGGAAATGGACCGCAGGTTTTAGTCCTGGGTTCCATTTACCAGGGCAACCCATTTTGGGGTTACCCTATCATTTGAGCCACAGCCAAATGAACGAACAGCGCCCTGACGTCCATCTCTCAGCTCGAGCGGCCAGGCCGAGCGCCTGGTCGGGGACGCCGCCAAGAGCCAAGGGGCGCGGAACCCCGGCAACACGTCCGGGGGCCCGGCCGAGACGACCTCAGGGCGGCCGGCCAAGCGTCGCATTTGCGAAGTTCTTGGTGGTTCCGGCCCGGTTCAACTTGGGGGGTTTAAAATTTTAGCCAAGTGTTTAGTGCTTGGATGTCCATGTAACCTGAAAGTGAAACTTCCAGATCTGAGAATCTGGGGGTTGCCATTTGAGGGTTCCGTTTTAAGATGGTTGAATTAGAACACGAAGCCGATCTGAATGGTGGTCTCGCAAAGGGTTTATGTTTTCAGAACCCTACTGTCTTCCCCGAAAATTGATTGGTCTCCGATTTTTCCCAGAATTCTTATTATTCTTTTCTGGGCCGATCATTGCAGGTTGGTGAATCACTATATGATTCACCCAGACCCATGACCCAACATCCAGAGGGTTTCGAAATTGTAAATGGCTTTTGCTGCTTGGCAGAACGAGCTATAAAGGAGAAAGTTCCAATGTCAGCATGGAATCTGACTGGGTGGGGTGTGTGTGCGTGTGTGCGTGTGGAGAGAGCGCGAGCGAGAGAGCGCGAGAGAGCGCTGTCGTTTCGAACTTCTGCCTCCCACTGCCATTGTGCCAGCAGAGGCAGAGGCATGCACCAGATTGAGGGCCCCTCAAGCGAAACCCGAAGCCCCTCGCACTTATCGTATTTCAGCTCCCAGTCGTGCATGACTCCGTGATGTTGGCTCTTGCTCAACGCCAACTTGAGGAACAGTTGGAGCAGTTGGCCCTAAAAGGTTAGCCTTTTACGTGTGGAACCTTTGGACAACTGAGCTGCCTTTCTTGGCCGAGTCGAAGTTTAATTCGAAATTTGAGTCTGTGGATGTCAAGTTCAGCTAATCTGCTTCGCGCCTGGAGTGCCTTCCGCAGCCTCTCGTCCGACTTTGCCGGTGCTCAGGGTCTATGACGCGAAGCGGTGCCCCGGCTAAGAGGATGTGTTGCTGGCGGGAAGTGGGCCGAGAGGAGCTATGGCTTTGCAGTTCGGATCATGTGTTGGCTGTTGTTGCACGATGTTTATTGCTGCCACTGGGGCGGGAAAAGCAGGGGGAAGAAGCACATGTTTGCAGTCTGCAGCTGGGAGTTTGACGGAGTTGTTTTGATGGTTGAGAGGCTTCCGCTGCACGTACAAATAGGCTCTTCTTCTGATGGGCTAGTTGCTTGGACAGAATGCACGTTGTTTGCTTCCTCCCGGCACAGTCAGGGTGCCAACACGCACACAGACACACGTTGGCACACACACCCACAAACACACACCCACACCCACACCCACACCCACTGCCACAGCCACACCCACACCAACCCCTGCACGCACGAGCACACGCACGCGAACGCTCACACGCCCGCCCGCATGCAAACGCACACGCACACGCCGAACCCACGCCCACGCGTACGTGCACACTCACACGCCACACGCATGCTCCCATGCGCACACACACACAGACACAGACACAGACACAGACACAGACACAGACTTACAGACACACAGACACACAGACACACAGACACACAGACACAGAGACACAGAGACACAGAGACACAGAGACACAGAGACACAGAGACACAGAGACACAGAGACACAGAGACACAGAGAGACAGACCCACAGACCCACAGACACACAGACACACAGACACACAGACACACAGACACACAGACACACAGAGACACAGAGACACAGAGACACAGAGACACAGAGACACAGAGACACACAGACACACAGACACACAGACACACAGAGACACAGAGACACAGAGACACAGAGACACAGAGACACAGAGACACACACAGACACACACAGAGAGACACAGAGAGACACAGAGACACACAGAGACGCACAGAGACACACAGAGACACACAGTGAGACACACAGTGAGACACACAGAGACACACACAGAGAGACACACAGAGAGACACACAGAGGCACACACAGAGACACACACACACAGAGGCACACACAGAGACACACAGAGACACACACACACACACACAGAGACACACACACACACACACAGACACACACAGAGACACACACAGAGACACACAAAGAGACAGACACACAGACAGACACAGACACACAGACACACACACACACACACAGAGACACACACACACAGAGACACACACACACACAGAGACACACACACAGACACAGAGACACACACACACACAGAGACACACACACACAGAGAGACACACACAGAGACACGCGCACAGAGACACACACACACACAGACACACACACACACACAGACACACACACACACACACAGACACACACACACAGACACACACACGCAGACACACACACACACACATACACACACACACAGACACACACGCACACAGACACACACACAGACACACACACACACACACAGACAGACACACACACAGACAGACACACACACACAGACAGACACAGAGACACACACACACACACACACAGACACACACACACAGACACAGACACACACACACACACACACACACAGAAACACACACACAGACACACAGACACACGCAGACACAGACACACGCAGACACAGACACACCCAGACACAGATACACCCAGACACAGACACACCCATACACAGACACACGCAGACACAGACACACGCAGACACAGACACACGCAGACACAGACACACGCGCACGCAGACACGCGCACACAGACACGCGCGCGCAGACACGCGCACCACCCGCACGCACCCCCACGCACCCCGCACCCCCATGCAGGCTCGCAGGCTTGCAGGCACGCAGGCGCGCAGGCACGCACGCACGCCCGCCCGCCCGCCCGCCCGCCCGCACGCACGCACGCATGCACACACACACACACAATCGCACACACTTATAGAGCAAGGCGTGCTGGCTGTCAAATTGCACAAGACATGAAAGCAAACCCGCGTACACACACACACACACATGCACACACACACACATACACATACACACGCACCACAAACACACACACGAAGCCCGCACACATCGCAAACACGCACTTACACGCACAGACAAACACGTAAAAACACACACACACAAACACGCACGCACAACCGCGCACACACACAACCAAAGACACTTAGCAAGCGTACATATTTAGAACAACAGAACAACCCCTTCTCGGGCAACCACGGCGCACACAACACCCAGACATGCGCACCCTCACAAAGGCACGCCGACAGTCCGACACGCAGACACACACACAGATACAGACACAGAGACACACAGAGGCACCAAGATGCCACAACACTTCGACGCATCAGCTTGAGCCACAGACACAGTACGTGCAACACACACACACACACGCACACGCATGGACCCACGTAGACAGATTGCTGCCACACCACGGGCAAATCACAGACAAACCATAAGCGCACCATATGCGCTCCCTAGACGCATCCCACATACAAGCACACAATCCACTCACACCAACTGCCCCTCATGACATTCTTTCGGACTTTCCTTTATGCCTAGCTTCACTGCTTAGGTATTTGTTGCCGAGTCTCTTTGAGGTTTTGCAATTAATCATCTTCACCGCGCGCTCACCGTCCGTTTGCACGCAACCCGATCCGAAGATCGATTGCTACATCTGTTCTCATATCCGCACGTTCTCATGATGAATGGGAAAAACGGATGTCATGATTTACAATAAACCATTTGCAAGAAGAAATGGCATGGGATGGACCCAGACCAACTGGGTATGGGTCCTTTAGTGAACCGTGCCGCTCTCCAAGTCCTCCGCTGTTGAGACCTGGGCCCAGTTGCGCAACCCGTCTCAAGGCTCATCGGCCGGAAGTTCCAGGATGCTCCGGTGCAGCAGGACATGAAGCACTGGCCCTTCAAGGTTCCGAGTCTCCGAGGGATGGATCTGACAAAAAAATATGCGAAACATGCCGCGAGCGGTTTCTAGAAGGTGCTTTTTAGATTGCTTCATGTTCAGTTGAGGTAGTGTTTGTATGCGTGCTGTAATGATTGTGGTTTTAGTAGTTGTTGCTTGACTCCATGTTTCAAGTCTTCCATGGAAGAACACGTTTGAGCGACAAATGTCCTTGCAGGTTTCGTGCGCCACCTTGACTGACCAAGCGCTCATTTTTACGAAGTTGCTGGGGCATGCGTTTTGCACGGAGAAGCTGGAAAGCAGGACCATCAATGACTGGGGGCTCCTCCATTTTTTCCCCAACAGGTGAAAGCTTTCGGGTCTCAGCCCAGATAGGCTCCGGGGTGGTTCGGGGGCGGCCCTGAGGTAAGGTTCCACAAGGGTTCCACGAGGGTTCCAGCAGAGTTCAGGTTCTGCGTGGACTGCGGGGTGGTCTGGGTGGTTTTGAGGTAAGGTTCCACGAGGGTTCCACCAGGGTTGCACCAGGTTCTGCGAGGGCTGCGGGTGGTCCGGGGTGGTTTGAGGTAAGGTTCCACCAAAGTTCCACCACGGTTCCACCAAGTTCTGCGAGGGCTGCGGGGTGGCCCGGGGTGGTTTGAGGTAAGGTTCCAGCAGCGTTCGTGGTTGTGTACCTCAAACCACCTCGGACCACCCCGCAGCCCTTGCAGAGCCGGTGGAAATGTGGTGGAACCCTTACATCCACCACCCCGGACCACCCCGCGGCCCTGGCAGAACCTGGTGGAACTCTGGTGGAACTCTGGTGGAACCCTGGTGGAACCTTGCCTCAAACCACCCCGGCAAGGAAGCAATGTGTCGTGCGCCCACCGACTGAAAAGCCATCAGAGCAGTAAATTGAGGGCTCAGAAGATTGCTTTGCTCATGGGCGGAACACTAAGCAAAACCGAAACCAATAGTTTTCAGCACACTTTCACTGTTTTGTCACTTGCTCACTTGCTCAGGCAACGGGTGGGCTCTGTGGCAAATCAGATCACGTCGCTGCGGGACTCACTGTGTAGCAGAGTAAATGCTTGGCATGTCTGAGTATTACTTGGTGCCCCCAAGGGTTCCACAAGGCTGCGAGGGCTACGGGGTAAAGTTCCAAAAGTGCTCCACGAGGTTTCCACCAAGTTCTTCAAAAGCTATGGGGCAGCCCTGAGGAAAGGTTCCAACAACCGTCGGGGCCCGATCGGGCCCCGATTGCGCCGTCGGGCCCCGATCGGGCCCCATCAACTACCAAGCTGGCATCGCCTAGTTTTGCTAGATACAGTTGCAAGGCCGCATCCTAAGGAAAGCCGGCGTGAGCTATAATATGGGTGGCTGGGGTTGGTGGGAGCCCGACCATCGGGCCCCGGGCCCCGTCCGGCCCCGCTCGGTCGGGCTCCGACTCGGGCCCCCAATTTTGCGCTTCATAAAGTTACACGTTCTGCGAGGATTCTGGGAGGGTGTGGTGCTGTTGGGGATATCGCCTGAGCTTATTTCATTTTGTGTTGTAAGGTGGGCCAAATATGAATCAGACTCTGAACATCTGTTTTTTCCCTAGATAGAGGAGAGCTGAGAACTTGTGTAGATGGAGCAGGTTTCTGGCCAAGCCTGCAGCAGGTCAGCACCAGCTTCGTCCACGGCTTTGAGAGATACAGATGCAAACACTTGTCGCTCGACCCTGTAAACATGAACAAGCATTGTTGAGCCAAAAACTATCTGAACATACTGCACTGCACATGAATGATCCCAGCCACTCAAATTCTGAGCATGCCACCATTTTGATGCAAACGGCCACGGAGAAATTCCTGGCCACGGCCGCCGCCTGGCTGGACAGGTGGTCCGTGGCAAGGATGACAAGCCCCTGATTGAGGCGCGGATCATTGGCGAATGGAGCCAGGCTTTCTTATTGGCGTAGCTCGCTTTGGGCTAGTTTGGTTTGCTGCTCAGGTGAACAAGCTGCTTTCAAAGTCAGCCTACCTGCTGCCTCCGAATCCTTTCCAGGCATCCTCCTGGTTCCGCACGCAGCCCTAAAACCCCATCGAGTGCAGATGCTTCTAGTTCACGAAAGTGGCTGCAACGAAGAGCATGGAAGAGTTTCCCTCCAAAGCGCTCAGTTCAATCCTTGCAAGTGCCACTGGGCTCAAAATGGGACCCCATCCAACAAGTTGGTTTCCTTTTGGTTCTCCTTCAATCCCAGGGCACCCTGAGAGACACCCAGCCATGGTTGTTGTTGGGAAACATTTTACATCTTTGCTTATTTTGATTTAGTGGTTGAAATCCCCACTGAACTGCTAAGATTTAAGTTTTTGCTCCCTTTCCAACGTCAACCAAGCAACTTTCTGCTTTTTGCGTCAGGTCACCTTCCAGGGGAAGACGAAGCAGTTTCATCCTGAGGAGATCTCCGCAGGGGCCCAGAACAATCTGCGGGCTGAAGATCTCATCGCCTGATGCGACTAGATCGCCTGATGCGGAGTAGAGCCGGTGCACAAAAGAAGGACCAGGGCCTCAAAAGGGGGAGATCTCTTCAGGTGGCAGGGGTAGTATCATCATCATCATCATCATCATCATCATCATCATCATCATCATCATCCTCCTCGCCACCATCGTTTGAACGCCCATGAGCAGCGAGGCTTTCTTTCAACTTTGCCTGACGCTCTTGTAGATTTTTTTGCTTAGGCCATGGTCCTTCAAAAGATGAAGGAGACGGCAGAGGCCGAGCATTGCAGATTCGGAGAATGCCAGAAGAGTTTTCTCGATGTTGATCTCAGCCAGCCTTCCGGAACTTGTCATAGGTGTCCTTTTTGGTTGTTTTGCTAGGGCCCTGGTTTGCCTGGTGGCTTAATAATCTACCAGGGCCATCTATTTCCCCCCAAAAGGACACCTATGGAACTTGTTGCCCATTGCTTCAGCAGGGCCTTCTCGCAGGATTTTTGGGGATGCCAGGTCAAAGTGCTGACCAGTTGCGCCAATGCGCCTCGGGATTTTTCAGCGATTTCAAGTCCGATGGCTATTGAACATGGCCATTGAAGAACGCCACCCTTGGTCCATGAAAGGCGATCAAACATTTTGACACACTTCTGCCATGGTTTCTGCAGTAGACTTGGCAAAGGGCATTTTGTTTCATCGGTCCTTTGATGCGGCCTTTTGCGTAGTCAATGATCCCGCGAGACTGGGAGGCGCACTTGGGCCATCCCGTCACCGATGCCGTGATCACCGTCCCGGCATACTTCAACGACTCTCAGAGGCACTCCTGGGGGAAGGGCGAAAGTGAAAGTGGGCAATCTTTCGCTGGAGACCAACCAGTGGGAGTAGTTCCCGAGAATTAGACGAAGAAGAATGCTCATCTTCCATTAACATATTCATCAATCCGTGGAATCTTAGTTTGGCCTCTCGCCCATGTCCGTATCACAAATACACCCTCCTGCTCATTCAGCACCTAGATCTTGTCACCGCTACCAAACGAGCTACACGGGCGCTGAACAAGTCGACTGGAACCGGTGGAAGAGCCATTCAACGAATCGTTGGGGCCGCAGGGTGCCTTGTCAGAGGCATAGGCGTCCTTTTTGGTTGGTTTGCTCAAAAAATAGAGGGCAATTCCTGGTTTAGATGGGGTTTATGCCCCATTTACCAGCTGAAATCAGCCACAGCGCAGTCTTGCAAAGGTAGTGGGCCCCGAACTGTAAGTTTCGAAGCTCAAAGTAGCGGTTTCGGGGACCATCCATTTGTCCAAAAGGCCACCTATGGTCAGGGGGCAACCCCTAGTCGAAGACTGGATCTTCTTTGGCACACGGCTGGTGGCCACTCCTGGACCCGGAACCTGCTCTGAGGGTACCACTCTCGGTCTGGTTTAAAAGCTTCCATTTCGGTAAGATGTTTTTGTTTTTGTTTTTGTCTCCTTTTTTTTCCCTGGTGGTTTTAAAGGGAATCTATCACTACTTTTTATTATTATTATTTCTTCCAGGGCACTGAAGCAACTGGAGGAAAGAGAGCCAAACGGAAAACCATTCTCGTTTGGGTTACGGTTGTTTTGACACTCGCAGCCGTTTCTTGCTGTGCCCCGAGCTGCGGAACATGAACAGAAGGGCTTCCGGGCTTCCTCTCAATTCCCTTGGCCGCTGCACCCAAAACTGTGCTTCCCAGCATAGAAACCCCGCAAACCTTGTTGCTGGTTGGCTCCTTTCGGGGGGGGGGGGGTGTTTGCCGCAGGCAGGCCACCAAGGATGCCGGCGCCATTTGCGGCCTGAACGTCCTGAGGAGCGAGAGATGCGCGCGCAAAGTCGCGGCCGAGCGACCGAGCGACTCGCACAGCTGGCTGCCATCGGCGTTTTCAACCAAAAGCCCCTGGGCGCAAAAAATGCGGTGGATGGGCGGAATCCATTTTGCACCACTTTGAAACCAACCATTGTTCGTTGCTATTCGCAGGGAAAGCATGATTTGCAGGGTTTCTTAGGTGCGAAATGGATTTCGCAACCATCCACAGGGTGAAGGACCATTTTGCTGCGAGTCAAAGAAAGCAAGAGCGGGTCGGTTGGTCAACGAGAGTGGTTTGAAGCGCAGGATCATTAACGAGCCGACGGCTGCGGCTCTCGCCTACGGTTGGAGCCTCGGCCCGGCTCGAGAGTGCGGCAGTGCATCGACCGGAGTTTGAAGCCAATCGAGGCTTGGACTCGAAGACCAAAGGTGCCCACCACGTGCACGGGCTCAGTCTTGCCGTCGACGGATCCGCGTTTGTTTGCCGCACCATTGCCAGCTTGAAGACGCCAAAAACAATAATGTGGCCATGGGTCAAAACCCCGTATCCCCAGTGAACATCCCAATCCCCACTAAAATAGGTTCTAAAATGGGTGGTGATTTCACCTACCCCAAAATGGGATCCCATTGGTTTTGAGCCACTCCCATGTAGGTCAGACTAAAAACAGCGTAAATCCCGTGGATGTAGACCTATGCCAGCACATGGCTTGGAAAGGGCTTCAAGGTTCAGAGTTCGGAGGGAAGCGTTGGGTACTGAGTCAGACTTCGCAGACATGACGAGGCGGTCTTATCAGAGACTGGAACATGGGTTCTCGATGATAAACAGGTAGCCAGGTTTTGCGACCTTCACCCTATGGGCTGGGCCAATCTCCTGAGGATTTCCGGGGTCCTCGTCTCACGAGCTGAATGACCTAACCAACATCCATAAACCAGTCCAAGTCAATCAAGGTGAACACCTTCGAGTCGGGACGTCGCTTATTTCTACGCGCCGGTTTTTGATTCAGATTCTTCAAGCGCCTTGCCATGGGTTTCCTTTGGCTGCGTTCACCGGTTCAGCAGTGCTATCTTCATGCCCGCCGACAATAACACCGTTTGTTTTGGGGCTGGCATGCGGAACACCGAATTGATCTCCTCTGAAAGATCGGAACGCCTTGAAATGGACAGCTGCTAGCCTAAAGCACAGGGGGCCGAACACGCTGATTGGTCAATTCTCGATCTCAAGACAACCTCAGGTGCTTGTCTACGACATGGGCGGGGGCACGTTTGACGTCTCGCTTCTAGAAATAGAGGACCGGCTCAGTTCTTGCCTTTCCTTTGTTTTGGTGAGTTCGTAGGTCGCCGAGCTTAGTACATACCAGTTGCTGGCACTAACAGTGTAGTCCGTGGGGCTGTTTTGGCGGCTTCCCTCCAGGTGGTGATGTTGTTCGCTTCGCATATTCTTTTCCCGGTTCCGTGGTTTCCTTGGGAGTGACAAACGCGAAGACGATGGCTCTCTGCGAAAACACACGGCTCCATCTAAGTAGAAAGTCACCCACAGGCCGACGCTGACATTGGAATGAAGTGATGCGCTCCAAAGCGGACTAACTGTGCGCGAATCCCAACAGAGAAGCTCATGACTCATGACGACTGAGCAACTATCCTCACACTTCTCTGACACGAGCCACGGTCATTTTGTTTTTGTTGTGTGACCTAATGACAAATATTTTGGTGGGCAACCTCCCTTTCCTGGTCTTGGTGGCAATACCGTGTGCGTGTAGCCAATGTCATTCCTTGACTACGGTGGATGACAGGGAACATTGACCGCATTTTCTTGCCAGTGGGGTAGCAGGCTTTTCAAAGGCAAGCACGCATTGGTTGAACAGCTCATGCTCGACTGGTCTTGAGGGTGCCTGGGCTCTCAGTTGCTTAGACTCGTTTAGACGATGCATTCTTGCACTGCGAGACCACTTTGCGAGTTTTTCCCCTAAAGAACTCTGTTTCTCCCTGGGTCCACTTCTGCCCAGCTTCATTCCACAGCAAGTGCCCATCTTTGAGTGGGGTTTAAAATTAAATGATTGGAGGGGCAAAGCGCAGGTATTGGTCCATGATTCCGGTTTTTTGAGCCACTGCCATCTCTGAGGGCTCCCTATCCCATCTGGCCGATCCGCGAGGACGGCGTCTTCGAGGTCAAGGCCACAGCTGGGGACACCCACCTCGGCGGGGAGGACCATCTGCGTACGAAACGCTGTCGGCCGCGAGCATGTGGCTGTGGTGGTCAAAACCGTTTTGGGATCCCATTTTGGTAGGTGCAACTCCATTTTAGAACCTATTTGAATGTTGGTTGGTAGGTGAATTCACCACCCATGTTTGGACCTAAATTTTAGTGGTCGGATTGAATCGGATGTTTACTGGGGGGACGATTGGGGTTTTCACCCCATGGCCATGTGACTTGGGAAGTCCGTTTAGTCCAAATGCTTCAGGCAGTACATTGCCAGTGATGAGAGGCGTCAGGCTACTGGAGGTTGCAACCCCTGGTTGCGGCATTCGGTGCGTAATCGCAGCCGTGCCGAGGGTTCCATTTTGTTCCCTGCCGCTCCCAACTTCTTCGAGTTCTTCGTGCGGCCGCGCGCTTGGAAGGGGTGCAGATCTCCCGGCCACTGCAGGACTTCAGCAACCGGCTCATGGAGCACTGCATCAAGGCGTCGATACCCCACGCTTCAAGCACGGGAAAATCGCTCCGTTTGGAGACGGGGGGTCTGTGCCTGAGTTGGATGGCAGGAGTTCGAGCGCAAGAACCGCGGCAAGGCGTTCGGGGCGTGTTAGGGGCCGCGTTGGGGGTCACAAAGCAACCGAAAAGAAGCGGGGCTTCAATTCCATGGATGAAAAGGTGGGAATCTACGACCTAAGACTAGTAAAGACTTCATGGACTTCATAGCCTGAGGCTGCGGTGATGCCCTAAATGTCGGAAGATGTTGCAAGTGAACCCACATGCAACCACGGTGCCCTTCTTTGTTGGAAGATGTTGCAAGTGAACCCAGCACATCCAAAGCAGCGGGGAGCAAAGGAAAGCCTGCAATCCACACTGCCACATGGGATCTCCGTGGCCAGGACGTGCGCAAGAACCAGCGGGCACTGCGGAGGCTGCAGGCAGAGTGCGATGCGGCCGGGGCGCCTGGTGGCCTGGGACGGAACACGGCCTCCTGGTTCCGGCCCAAGGCGGAGTGTTCGTTTCTTTTGCCACCTGTTTTGGTTTGGTTTGGAATACCTCAAGCGCAGGGTTTGCTTAATCAAGAGAGAAAGTCAGACTAAGGAAAAACTAGAAAACCAGAATGGAGTTCAAAAATCAGCATCAAAATCTTGGGGTGCTGCAAATTGGTTGGGTTGCATTTGCCACGCCCCATGTGCCACGTGATCTCTTTTTTTGATACTAGGACAATACCTTGCTTTTTGCTTTGGGAACTTTGACACACACACACACACAGAGGCGCGCACACACACACAGACACGAAAGGGCACTCTGGGGTTGCGGTGAACCACTCTTGCTCACTGCGATGTACATTGGCAGATGCTCAGCAGGCTGGTCTTCTTCCTTTCAGTGACCAGCCACTTCTGGCTTCGCGCAAGACCCAAAGGCATCGGTTGGCCGGCGCTGGCTCCTTTGCCCTTTGCTTTTGCGCCATTGTCGAGCTGTTTTTGTTGGATACTGATAAGCTGATCAGCTGCTTTGAGCTCGGTTTGAAGCATTCCGAGCTGCCCGACTGGTGCTGATGCACGGCGTGTTGGATGGGTGACCTGCTACAGGCAACACTATCCCCCCCTGAACGCTTGGTTTCACGCCGATCGCCTGTTGGCAACAGCCAAGACAAGAGGGTATTATTCTTCAATTTGTTCATCCCTGTAAGATACACAAAGATAGAATTTCATGAAGATCATGTTGTGTCATATTAGGCTGCAACATCTTTCTGTGCTCGGGCACTGTTGCTGGTGCCCTTGTCAGTTTCATTGACATGACCCAACGAGCTACGTACGCGGGCCCGTCAAATCAGATGGGGTTGTTTGGCAAGGTCGCACCTCGCTGACCAAGCGACCTCAGTTGAATAAGTTGTGCAGTGTGGGCTTTCTCTGCATGTTGGCGGGAGCCCCAAAATGGTTTGGCCTTGAGGCCAAGAGGACGCTCTCCTCGTCCACGCAGGCAACCATCGAGGCCGGCTCCCGAAAATCGGAGTGACCCGACTGAGTCGGCTCATGGAGACTCGTGCAGTTCAGCGATAGCTAGTGATAGGTAGATTGAGATCATTCCGAATGAAAACGAATCACACCGGAGTGACCATATGGCTGTGGCTCAAAAAACCGGAATTCCAAAATGAAACCCTGGCAAGTGGAAACATGGGTACCAACACCTGCGGTTCGCCCCTCCTGTTTGGTTTTGAGCCACATATGCCTGGATCACAGGTTTGCTGTGTAGCTTACCCGAGCTCAATGAACTCAGCTCGGTCCTTGGGCTGCCAGTTCGAAACCTTTGTCTAGGAATGACTTTCCAAGTCCGGGTGTTGGTGGAATGGGCCGGTTTTGGTTGGATCCCCGAAAAAAGGACACCGGAACGGGGATGGCGTTTTTCGGGGGTCGTTTCCAGCTGAGAGGCAGCAAGTCATGGTGCATTTCTGTGGAATTTCAGGCAGATGCTTTCTTTTGGCGCGATTTGAAGATGAGGATAGATGCACAGGGAGTCAGTTCTCTTAGTCAGTTCTCTGGATTCATTTTTCATCCGACCTGCGGATGGGGAGAGGGGTGAGGTAGTTTGGATTTGCATCTGGCCAGTCAGCGAATGCCTTTCAAGCGACCAGTGCAACATGCAGGCGCATGAGTCCAACCCGCATTGAGACACCTACGTCATGGAGTTGAGTTGTAAGATGTGTTTCTTTTTTTGCCTGTGAGGGGATTACCAACTAAAGAAACTAACTGAACCAACCAACTAGCCAACTCATAGAACAAATTGCAGCTTACCTGTCCGTGGCGAGGTGGACTCGCTGCTGGACGGCATCGATTTCTCCTGCTCGATCTCCAGGGCCAAGTTCGAGGACTGGCATTTGATGTCATTGGGTGCTTCGGTGACCCGCACTGGGCGCGGCATTCGTGGGGTATCCACCGAAAAAAGGCCGCGTTGTCCAAGACGGGATGGATGACTTTGTGGTAGTAAGGCCATAGAGAAGCCGGAAAGATTGCAGCAGTAAAGCCTTGCCATGAGGGGGGAAACTTGCTGGTGCTCAGCAAGGAAAGACGGAATGAACCTGGGAATTCCCTGAAAGGAAACCACAAGGGATGGTTTATAGGGGTCATTCCCTTATTCCCTGCTGGGCATCAGCAAGGAAAGGCAAGTCTTGGGTGTTAAATACTTGTTCAGCCGTCCGCTTTGCTTGTCATTTCTCTACAGAGCTCTGGAAGGCAAATTGCCCATTTCTGCTTGTGTTTCTGCTTGACTTCCCCTCTAGGCACCTCTTGCTGTAAGCAACCCTGTGTAGCTGGCAAATTTGCGCACACTTCGCGGATGCACAAGCTTCATGTGGCATCTCTCTCTGTCTCTCTCTCTTTCTCTCTTTCTCTCTTTCTCTCTTTCTCTCTTTCTGTCTTTCTCTCTTTCTGTCTTTCTCTCTTTCTCTCTTTCTCTCTTTCTCTCTTTCTCTCTTTCTCTCTTTCTCTCTTTCTCTCTTTCTCTCTTTCTCTCTTTCTCTCTTTCTCTCTTTCTCTCTTTCTCTCTTTCTCTGTCTTTCTCTCTTTCTCTCTTTCTCTCTTTCTCTCTTTCTCTCTTTCTCTCTTTCTCTCTTTTTCTCTTTCTCTCTTTCTCTCTTTCTCTCTTTCTCTCTTTCTCTCTTTCTCTCTTTCTCTCTTTCTCTCTTTCTCTCTTTCTCTCTTTCTCTCTTTCTCTCCTTCTCTCTTTCTCTTTCTCTCTTTCTCTCTTTCTCTCTTTCTCTTTCTCTCTGTCCCTCTTTCTCTCTGTCTCTCTGTCTGTCTGCCTGTCTGCCTTTTTGCCTGCCTGCCTGCCTGGCTGGCTGGCTGGCTGGCTGTCTGTCTGCCTGCCTGCCTGCCTGTCTGTGTGTGTGTGTGTGGGTATATCTCTCTCGTTCTCTCTCTCTCTCTCTATCCCTTCTCCTGTCCTCCCTCCCTCCCTCCCTCCCTCCCTCTCTCTCTCTCTCTCTGTCTCTCTCTCTCTCTCTCTCTCTCTCTCTCTCTGTCTCTCTCTCTCTCTCTCTCTTACCCTTTGTTGGAGCAGGTCCAGTTCGTTCACCATCTACGTCTCGCCAATGCCTGATATCGGACAAACACGCGCACAGAGCTACTGGCGCAATGACTGCTCGTTTTGACATGCTGTATTTGGACCGCGCTTACGTTGTTTGGAGTCGGTTGGCACCAGAGCCGTTTTGTCCACAAGTTGGACACAAGATGCCAGCAGCAAAGAAGAGGTAAACAATGAGTATGATGTTTTCAGGAGCTGAACCAGCAGCTCTTCAAGCGCTCTATGGAGTCGGTGGAGAAGGCAGGTGAGGGAGGGCTCAACGATCGAGCCATTGGTGCGCTCTTACCCGAAGAGTGGGCGATGCTTCAACTCGCCTGTGCTCTGTCTGGTGTGGCGTGTCCCCGTGCGTTGCGTGTGGCATGTCGTGAGTGTGTATTCGTGATTGTTGTTTCATGCTCTTTCGTGCTGTTTCAGTGTGTGACGGGGTGTTAGTGGATGTGGCTGCCGTTCACGAGGGATTGTTTGCCGTGCCTCAAAAACGCTTGAGGGAGCTCTCCGGATTCCACCTTGGCCTTTCCAAGAGCAGGAATAGTTGGAATGGGGGTGTGGGGCAATTTTGAGGCAAACTCAGTCATCAGAGAAGAATCTCTGTACTGTAATTTGTGTTGCTCCTTGTAGTTCGTCTTCACAATACTGAAGATGTGGAATCTGGAAGGGAAGGTCTACTCTTGATCCCCTGGGTATTGCAAGGGCATCAGCCACAAAGTGTGAAGTTGCAAGAAAGTCTTTTGGCATTTGCCATGTGCAAAGCTTCACGAGCAGCTGCCTGGAGCGACTAGGAGTTGCTTGTGGGAAGTTGCTTGGAGGCGACTAACTAGATGCTGAGAAGTCGGCCGGGGCAGATCTTAGCTTCGGGCATTGTGCCGCCAGTCCGCAGACCTGCGGATTGGAATTGGCCGAAGGTTTGGATTGCTGGTGGGATGCAAATAGGTGTCCTGGCACCAGGTCCTCAGTGACGCCAAGGTGGACAGGAAATCCATTGATGAGGCAAGAGGGGAATGCAGCGGGCATAGGTGTCCTTTTTGGTTGGTTTGCTTAAAAATAGAGGGCCCTGGTTTAGATGGGGTTTAATCCATTTACCAGGGAAACCCATCTATTTTTCCAAAAGGCCACGAATGGCAGCGGGCCTCCGCATTTGGGGCGTTCGCATGGGTCTCCGCATTTGGGACGTTCGCTTGAGGTTCGGCTTGTGTGGCCAACATTGCCTTGAGATGGGCTGCGCTGCATCGTTGCCAGAAACCAACAAGTGTCAGGTCGTGCTGATCGGCGGATCCACGCGGATACCTTTCGTGCAGAAGCTCATTGAGGAGTGTTCCCGCAGGGCTTGGGACACACTCCAAACCTAGACCCAACTGGGCACACCTGTTTTGAAGCGAAATGGTTTGACCGAAAAGAAGGTTCAGCGTATGTGCCACTCGGTGGACGTTTGGATCAAGCAAGCCATGGTTCCCAAATCCAGCAGTCAAGCGCACACACTTAAATTCTCAAGGGAGCGATCCAATCAAATTGAAAAACACACACACACACACACCTGAGGCGCTTTTCTGAAGCAGTTTGAAAGGCGCGCACGCACTTACAGTTTATTTATGTTTATTTGTTGAGCCCTTGACAAGCTGAAATCAGGTAGCGTCCCCCATCATGATTCACAAGATTTGGCCTGTTCTCTCTTTCCTGCATGGCAATTATGCAGGAACCTCGCCATCATCCCTGAAACCCCGTCAAATGGGAATAATACTTAGCGGCGCCCTTCTCGAAATGGCTGACTCCATTCTCATCGCTCCAACTTACATTTGTGACGTAGACGGCTTGACTTCACGGTGAGTGGAGCTTTCAAGGTATTCGGTGCCAACCCAAAGGTTTGTGAGGTAGACCTTGGTTTCTCCTGTCTCATAGTCTGAAGACCAGTGCGAAACACATTGCTAGTGCGACGAAAGTATCAGGGCCTGTTGTGTGAAACATGTTGCTGCTTGCGCGATGAACGTTAGCTGCTGCTGTGTGAAACATGTTGCCGCTTTGCGGCGTATCAGGGGCTGTCGTGTGAAACATGTTGCATGTTGCTGTTGTGCGGCGAACGCTTTTACCCTCCCCTTGCAAGCAGGTATATGAGGCTGACTAGGCCTTGCTGGCTTCGTTGCGTGTGGTAGGATGAGAGTGCCACACGCAAGGATCGAACAACCCCTGCTGCTGCTGCTGCTGCTGCTGCCACACACACACACACACACACAGCCTGCTGGAATGCCCCGAGCTGGACTGAGTGATTTTACTGGCGACACGCGCTGCAAGAAGTGAATCGGGAGACTTCCGTCGCAGGAGATTTTGCCCCTGCAACTTATTCGCGCGAAACTGCTGAGCCGCGATCCGCAAGCCCTTCTTTACGGGCATTATGCCAAGTGAACGGCAGGACGCTTGTATTTGCCTTGGCATCGACTATCTCAAGATCAAGGTCTTGAGAAACCACTGGTGTTTGGACTTACTGCCAAGCCCATCATGATTAGATTGCTTTTGCCTGGCTCACTGCCACCAAAATGGTGAGGAACTGCTGGGAAACAATCCTGAACATGACTCTTGGTGGTTGTGGTGGTGGTGGTGGTGGCAGCGGCCGCGGCGGCGTTTCTGGTGGTGGTGGTTTTTGCGGCCTTGAACTGAGGAAAGCCCTAGAAGCATGGATGTGCTTCTTAGACGGCGCTGGCTTCAGCTTGGTTCTAATCGTTATCCAAAAAGGACACATAGGGCTGTGATCGCAGCGAGGACTACTTCGGCAAGGAGGCCTGCAGGTCCATCAATGCGGATGAGGCGGGCTCCGGTTTCCAAGTGCGCAGGGGGGATGGCAAGGAACCTCGGCGTAGGCTTGGGATGTTGCGTGTTGCTGAAATAAGCGAAACGTTTGGGTGCCCTGTTTCCCTGAAGCAACAGGACAGGTAACAAGAGTTTTCATTCAGTCTGCGGTTTGGCGTCCGCCTTTGGTAGGCCGTGGCCTACGGGGCGGCGGTGCAAGCAGCGGTGCTGTCGGGCTCCAAGGCAGGGCGTTTGCCCTTGAAGACTGTTCAAAAATGCGCGCGATAGTGAGTGCCTTCGCGCGTTGCTGCTTTTTTCATTTGTGTGTGCGTTTGCGTGTGCGTGTGCGTGCGCGCGGGCGCGCGCAAGTGAGTGTGTGTGTGTGTGTGTGTGTGTGTGTGTGTGTGTGTGTGTGTGTGTGTGTGTGTGTGTGTGTGTGTGTGTGTGTGTGTGTGTGTGTGTGTGTGTGTGTGTGTGCGTGCGTGTGTGTGTGTGTGTGTGTGTGTGTGTGTGTGTGTGTGTGTGTGTGTGTGTGTGTGTGTGTGTGTGTCTCTCTCTTTCTCTTTGTTTGTTTGTTGGTTGGTTTGTTCGTTTGTTTGTTTGTTGGTTGGTTGGTTGGTTGGTTGGTTTGTGTGTGTGCGCTTTGCGTGTTTCTTATTTTGGATATGGCTGGGTAGTTTGCTTTGCCAGGTTGCCTCATTGATGCATTGTTGCCCCAAGCTTCCGACTGTGCAGGCATGAGGACATAGACCGGACATGACAACAGGCCTTGGAAGAAAACAGTAGATTTTTCTTTGTACACGGTGGCCATTTGGCGGTTGTCCATGAATTCTCTGGGTCCAAGTAGTTTGGACTTCCCCCCTGTAGACTTCCATGTGGGGTTGGTTGGAAGGTGTGTTTCAACCGTGAGCCTTTAAAGGGAACCTGAAAGGAGCCTGTTTCAACGTTGCTCAAAATGGTGGACCCCCTGTTGAACGATACCTCTTCCCGTTCCCCGAGACTCCATTCCTTGTTCAGGGGTCTTTTCCTTGGAACCAGTCTTGCACTCCGGTTTCACTGCCAGCAAAACGACATCTTAAGCCCAACTTTCGGTTTACTTAGGGGCCGCCACAAGGAAACCCAGCCTTTTGGGGGTTCCGGTCAATTTTGAGAAGGGCCCCCCCTCCCCCCCAAAGAGAAGAAGAAAAGAAATCGATACCTTCCCCCCCAAAAAAAGAGAGAAAACACAAGAAAAACAAAAGGAAAAACAGAAAATGGAGAATACCTTCGCCCAACGTGCCAGGGCAAGGATTCCGCGCTCAAGGACATCGTGCTGCTGGACGTCACGCCTTTGTCTCTGGGCCTGGAGACCGCCGGGGGCGTCATGACCAGGCCGGCCGCATCTCGTTCGCTGGGCTGCCGGTTATTGGTTGGACCTCAACTTTTGACCTTTGGGCCTTTGGGGGGGGAGGGGGGGGGGCACATTGTTTTTTTGTCTTTTCAGAATTTATTTTCTTGAACGGATTCGTTTGTTTGGAGCTTTGACCTGGTTTCCAGCAACCAACAAAAGTTGTCTTGTGGCAGCCGCCTTTGAGCCGGGCCGTGTTTCGCTGCCCTGCCCTTGAGCCATGGCCACTGTCGGACTTGACGAGATCCCTTCCTGAGCTGGCGGAGATGTGTTGCGCGTCTGACGTCGAAGGCTTGCTGTGTGGTCAAGCTCGGCTTTGGGTTGTTCCGCCCTCACCATCTCCCCTTTCTCCTCACTTCTAATTTTGCGCCTTGTTTGTGCCGTGCTATTGTTTGTGTTGCGGTCAGAACCTGCACTGAGCACGGAGATCCGTGCCTACTTTGCTTCCATCGATTTCGCATTCCTTTCCCTTGGAAGGCCTTTGAGGTCTTCCAGACTTGATGGAGTCGAGCGCAAAAGCTTTGTCACTGCAGTCTAAGAGCCCAGCACTTTCCACCTACACCGGGCCTGGGAGTTCGTGTTTTTGCAGGTTGATCGAGCGCAACTCCACCATCCCCACCAACAAGAAGCAGGCGCAAGAGTTCGATGTTGCAACAGGGGGCAACGGGTTGTTCTAGCTCAGAAGACATCAACGACTCTCGCCATTTTGTTGGGCGAAAATTCCAGTAGCGATGTGTTGATGCAAACCGCCACCTCCAGACGGGGATGGACAGACAGGGCGCAGGCGCAAATACATTTGGCCGCACGCGGCCGCACACAAAACAAAACACACATGTACATATATACATATCCATATATATATATATATGTATATATCTATGTATGTATATACACGCAAATACACAAGAAGTGTGGGGTTGGATGGGATGGGGATGGGCATGGGGGGTACCCGGATCATACTTGCATACATATTTGAGCCACACAATGCCGCTGACTTTCAGCTTCGTTGCAAAACAAATGGACATGAACCTGCCAACATTTCTCCCGGAGATCGCAGCCGCATGCCTTGCTTGGCGCATGGCGCTTGCACTCGCTTGAGCCAGGTCTTCTCCACCTACTCGGACAACCAGCCGGCCGTCTCCATCCAGGTTTGGCGATTTGGCGATCCGCTGGTGGCTTGTCCTTGGTTTTGCCAGCGGTACTACGGAAAATGACCCAACAGATCGGGCCGATCCCCTTTTCTTGGAATCGCATGGCTGAACCGTCCTTTTCATGTGGCAGGGAATTCCGACAGTGCGCAGCCTTCACATCTGTTGCACACGTTCCGCAGTGCTAGCTTGAATGCGTCGCTTCCTGCGTTCCCGTTTCGGCATCTCTCCCCACCATCTGGCCACTTTCTGATGGGCTTGGCAGCCGTCCGGTGTCCAGGTCTATGAGGGCGAGCGCTCCATGACCAGGCGAGGGTCCGAGACGGGAAGGAGACCACAAGCACCATTCCCATTTTGTTTCTGCATTCTGCAAGGCTGGAATGTCGATATCCCAGAATGATTGGGTCTGGTTGGAGCGATTGGGCTGGCGTCGCATTGTGAAGAGAGGCGCCATGAGCAATATGTTTTGTGTGGGTAGCCTTTGTCTGGATAGTTGGAAAGAGACATCGGAGGGAACAGATCTCCAGTTTTGAGGGATTCAAGTTCCATTAGACACAGGGCAGTAGCGGACGCATTGGTGTGCCTCAAACTAGGGTCCCCATCTTTCTCCACACACACACTCATGTGATTAATTATATATCAAGATGGCCCCCCTTCTCGGTAGTGACCTGCCTTTCCTGGTGGTCTTTGTTTGGAACTATGATGAAGGATGTCCCCAGTTTCGAAACAGTTCCCATGGCATTGCATGATTTGGCATGGAGACTTGCAACATTTAAGACGATCCTATAGAGAGGGTCTTCAATGCAAGAGCATGCTTCTTGTCGCCTTACATTTTTCAAGCCAAGAGCAGCCAGTAACGCATTGCGTTTTCTGGCTGACGGCAAGATACGTGGCAGCTTGAACGATTTCTTTGCTACGCTGCTAGGCAATGCCAAACTTCCGCATCATAGTGTCAGGGGATCCAAAGCATACAGTTGATTGACAGTGGCATGCATCAAACAGCGTTTTTGCAGTGGTCGTGAAGGCATTGCATGCTTTGAGATGAAGATTCCCTAGGCAGGATCCCTTCAGGTCGCAATTTCAGGTCGCTTTGGTTAGTAAGGGGCAGTCCCAGCCAGAAATAGTTGCGGCCGCCTTCTTAGTTCTTTACATGGTTCTGGGTTCACCATTTTTGTACCGATCAGTTTTGATTGTGACTCAGGTCGCTTTCCTTAGGGAGTTGCTTTGAAGCCGCGCTCGCAAGGGACAATCGGCTGCTGGGCTCCTTCAACCTGGATGGCATCCCACCGGCGCCTCGGGGGGTGCCTGCCTTGGCCGAGCGAGCGATCGAGGCTTCAGGGCCCAACCCAAAGAGTACTCCCCCCCTTGTCCCCCAGACTTTTGTGTGTGTGTGTGTTTTTTTTTGGTGGGGGGCGGGGGTCCGTTTTTTCTACTACTTTTTTTTTGCTACTACTTTTTTTTGGGGGGAAGGGGGTCCGTTTTTTCTACTACTTTTTTTTTGGGGGGAAGGGGGTCCGTTTTTTCTACTACTTTTTTTTTTGCTGGGGGGAAGGGGGTCCGTTTTTTCTACTACTTTTTTATTTTGCTGGGGGGAAGGGGGTCCGTTTTTTCTACTACTTGTTTTTTTTTGCAGGGGGGAAGGGGGTCCGTTTTTTCTACTACTTTTTTTTGCGGGGGGGGAAGGGGGTCCGTTTTTTCTACTACTTTTTTTTTTTTGCTGGGGGGAAGGGGGTCCGTTTTTTCTACTACTTTTTTTGCGGGGGGAAGGGGTCCGTTTTTTCTACTACTTTTTTTTTTGGGGGAAGGGGGTCCGTTTTTTCTACTACTTTTTTTTTTGGGGGAAGGGGGTCCGTTTTTTCCATTACTTCTTTTTTTTGGGGGGTGGGGGGGAAGGGGGTCCGTTTTTTCTACTACTTCTTTTTTTTTGGGGGGAAGGGGGTCCGTTTTTTCTACTACTTGTTTTTTTTTGCAGGGGGGAAGGGGGTCCGTTTTTTCTACTACTTTTTTTTGGGGGGAAGGGGGTCCGTTTTTTCTACTTTTTTTTTTGGGGGGGAAGGGGGTCCGTTTTTTCCATTACTTCTTTTTTTTGCGGGGGGGAAGGGGGTCCGTTTTTTCTACTACTTCTTTTTTTTGCGGGGGGGAAGGGGGTCCGTTTTTCTACTACTTCTTTTTTTTGCGGGGGGGAAGGGGGTCCGTTTTTTCTACTACTTCTTTTTTTTGCGGGGGGGAGGGGGTCCGTTTTTTCTACTACTTCTTTTTTTTGCGGGGGGGAAGGGGTTCGAGTCTTCAGGTGCTGCCCGCCGGCCCTCTCGTTGAGCCGTCGCTTGAAACGAGCCCCGCCCGCAAGCGCCGAAGATCTCAGGTGCCTCAGATCGAAGTCGCCTTCGACCTGGACTCCAACGGGGTGCGCCCGACGCTTCGAGCGGACTCGGGGTGGGGGTAGACGTGAGCCCCTCAGCTGATGGTCCTTTCTGAGGTCTAGCTAGAACTGGTGTTCGGATTTTTGGTGCTTCTTCGTTCTTTTCTGGGGGTCCAATCTGGTTTTTCACACCAGCCAAGAATGTTTTCAGGCCCAGTTTGCAAAACCAAGAGACAGAGACGGCATGAGCTGGCCAGAGAGCCGACAGAGACAGCAACAAAGACGGGAATGCATTTTGCAGATTCGGCGAAATGCCTGGGGCCTGTCCCAAATTTGGTTGCAATCATGCTAGCCCTTGACACCAACATCTGTAAATTCATATTACGAGCCTTACTTTGAGCAGCTTATCCACGCACACACACACACACTCATCTATCTATCTGCACATACATGCTTATTTATATACATTTTATGTGTATATATATATTATACATATATTTGACACTACATATGCAACCCGCCCCCCCCCCCCAAACCCCGCCTTTTCAGTTTGTGGGCTTCCCTGAGGCTCTGCTTTTTTGAATCTTGAATCGGGAATCCAAGCCTTCAGGAGCATGTCTTGAAACGCTTTAATCCATTCTATATGGAGCCTTGCTGGTTTTTTCAATCTTGACTCAGAATGAGAGTCTTGAGAATCTGGAATCTTGAATCCAGAAACGCTTTCAAGCGCTGTAAAGCATTTTGTTTGCAGCCCTACTGGACTCCAGATTCAGAATGAGAGTTCTGAGAATCTTGCTTTGAAGCGCTTCAGAGCTTTTCAGGGCTCCAGAGTGTGGATTGAAGATTCAAAGGCCAGAGTCCCGAGAATCTGCATTTTTCTAATCTTAGATCCCAAACTCCTTTAAAGCTTTTCAACGTGTTCAAATTTGGAAGGTCTCAGAAAAGGGTGAGCATAACTCAAAAGTACCGCAAATAGCGGCAAATGACCTGGAGGGAGCTATTTTCTGTGTGTGTGGGGGCATAAAGAAGCGTGTGTTCAGATGTAAGGAGCGCTGCCATGGTTTGAACATGGCCTCCGACTTGGCCTAAGCGAGTTTTCTAGTTGTACACATTTCGACGGACGGAGGGGTTTTGACCCCCAGAGTCCATCCAGGCAGACCTTTGCCTAACCAGGCATGTATTGGTGAAGCTTTAGGTTCCGTATCCTTAAAGAGCTTTTGAGATGCAGCGCTTGTTTGTTCCATGGATCGCCATCAATGGCCCATGTGCTTTGACTTCGTAACGGCTGGACGAGCGGCCGCGGAGGTTGCGGGGGGGGGGGGCTCTGCCGAGCGCGGCCGCAGATTCTCAACGTCTCAGCGGCAGACAAGACCACGGGAAAGCAATGATGCCCAGTGATTGCGAGAGAGAGAGAGAGAGAGAGAGAGAGAGAGAGCCCAAGCGCGGTGTGCGTCAAAAACAGCTGCCCTATTGTTCAAGCCACGGGGATCTTCGCGTTCCTTCAGTTATCTATGCATCTCGAATATCTTTGCGCATCCAAACACCAAGATACGCACCAAACAAGAAAGACCACAAAGTGGCCCACAAAGCGGTGTACAGTGGGCATGGATGAATTTTACCGTCCAGAATGTATCAAGGACCATGTGCGAGTCATGAGGCGCTTCACTGGAGGCTTTTCAACGAGCCTTGTGGCCTTGGGAGTCGGCTGAATTGCCAGGAACAAGGGAGCCAGCGATGTGTTTGCGAGGAGGGGTCCACGGAGCTTCGCTCGCATGATGAGAAGAACCTTCCAATCATAGGTGTCCTTGTTGGTTGTTTTGGCTGAAAAATAGATGGCCCTGGTTTACCTGTTGGTTTAATAATCTACCAGTTCCATCTATTAGCCCCAAAACCTATGCTTCCAACATGCTTGCCAGGTTACCTGGTTGGGAAGCAGCAAACCGCTCGAAGCGACAAGTGGCAACGCGCAGACTGTCGGGTCAAGGTCAATCTTTGTCAACATATTCGTCACTAGCAGCGGTGGTGACATTGTGGTCCACCCACGTGTCACCTCAGGCACAAGTGATTTGTGACAGATCCCAGCAGGATTTATGGCAACATCCCAAGGCTCGTCAAGTATCGTTGCCAGCAGCACAAAAACCGTTTCCAGAAGCACAAAAACAGTTGCCAGAAGCACAAAAACGACAAACGTTGACTATTGAGCCAACTCACCCTAACCCCCGACATATCGGGAACCACAAGGCGGGGGGACAGTGGCTCAATGGCTCTTGCGTTTTCATATGAGTCGGACGAGTCGGGCGAGTCGCTGTAGGGGCATAGTTCGCCGTTGTTCATGCCGTGTGACCCTTTGCGCTGCAAATGGGAGTTGATCAAAAGTCCCGAATAAGAAAAGGGAGGACCATTGGTTGGAGAAACAAAAAAATGATTGATATGTCAACCACATGTCAGTTTCTCTTGGTCATGGCCGGGAGCCCTAAATGGAATATTGATCAACCCCCCCAACATTCTGGGACCCTCCAGGCCGAGCAGTTTTCTCCGCTTCTCGGGCTGCGGTGTTCCTATTTTCACATCTATTTTCTCGCCTGGAGAGAGTTGGTCTCCAAGGGACCGCCAAAAATTGGCGGGATTGGCTTCGATGTCCCACGCAGAACCCCATTGGGGGGCACCATTACAAGACCCAACTGGGGGATGGGCCAACAGCCTGCGCCCAGGTCGAACAAGATCACCATCACAAACGAGAAGGGTCGCCTCTCCAAAGATGAGCTGCTCGGAAGCAGTGAGAATCCGCATCGCAATGTCAGGCACGGTGGTGTGCCGAAAACTTTGTTCTGCTTGGGTCTTATGGTATTGTTTTGTTTTGTTGGCATCCGCGAACACATCTAATCATGCTGGTTTAAACTTCCGCACGCCCCCCTGATCTTGGCACATCCGCGGATGGGCGCCCTTTTGATCGTTGGTCGGGTGGGCAAGCCGACTCTGTGGATTACGCAGAGGCCACGGGCAACTGCAATGATTTTGGCAGTTGGATCTTTGGTACGTCCTGTAGTATGGATCCTGGAGTTGCAGAGAGAGCCCTGACCATAGGTGTCTTTTTTGCTTGTTTTGGTCGAAAAATAATTAGATGGCCCTGGCTTACCTGGTGGTTTAATCATCTACCAGGGACACCCAAAACTGTTTGCCCCAAAAGGACACCTATGGCTATGACCTCAACCAAGTCTAGGGCGCATCCCCAGCTGAGGATTGAGAGGATGGTGAAGGCGTGGAGCTGGGAGAAGGGCGGGCGACGGGCATCTTTCTGATCTCTCTCGCTTTGGTAGTAGGTGTTAGCTGATGCCAAGGAGGGCAAATCAAGAGGACTTTGAGAAATCTACAAAAGAGGACTTGTAGAAAAATATGAATCTGGTGGTTTTCATGAACATGGTCCACCTGGTCCAAAGTGTTCGGAATTGAAATTCATCTCCAGAAAAAGGGGGCCCTTTGATTCAGGCGGCGCTCTGTGTGATGGCTTGTTGGGGTAGGGAGGTGGCTGTTGACCCATGGCCAGGTGGCGCGGAAATGGGTCTCTGTTTTTTGTTTGGCATGAAACAAGAAAAGACCGAGTGACCCGTCAGGAGGCGGAGCAATTTAGGCAGGAGGACGAGGCTTTGCGAAAGAACGTCGAGGCAGGGAGGGAGGCGAGATGAGTCCCTCACCCCACCCCGCACCACCCCCACCCCACCCCACCCCGCTGTGTTGTTGTTGCTCCTTGCTTCGGCTCGTTTCGACATGAGGGTTGCTACGGGGCCAATGCTTCCTTGAGGGCTCATGTTCCAAGCCCTTCGCGTGGGCGCTGCAGTTCTTGCTGGCTGATTCAATGGCAAGCAAGTGGTCGCTGCAAATTCACAGAGCAAGTTGTCCCTGCTTTTGTCATACGCGCCTGCGCCTTTGCCCTGTGCTAGGCCAGGAATGAGCTGGAGAGATATGCCTACTCCGTCAAAGGCGCGGTTGCGATCAAACAGAGCAAGCGGACTTGTCTTGCTGGTGCTTGAGCAGGGAATGTGGGAATGAACCCAGGAATTGGTCCCCTTAAAACACAACCACCAGCTGGATGGGTTTTTAGCCGGGCCCTTCCAATTTATCATTCCCTGCATCCTGCATGGATGTCGCAGCGACGTCTATCGGGCCTCCACCCCAGTCCTGGGGCGCAGTCGGCTTTTCGAGCAGAGGCCATAGATTCGTCGTGCCAAAGGGGGCCTTCTCAAAGGTCATGCAAGAAATTGGGCCCGAGATTCGATTCCCTCAAGGATTAGTTGAGGGAACAATTTCTGGTGGTCCCGAAGGCTGGGCCGATGTGCGGATAGTGCTTCTCCAAATGGAGCTTCTTTTGCTTGGCTTTTGAAGGGACACCTAAAGGAAAACAAGCATTTAGGGGGAGCCCCATAAATCCAAAAAGCCTCAACCCCCAAGAGGCTCTCTGGACAGGGAGGACTTGAAGGACAAGTTCAGCGAGGAGGACCGGTCCAAGGCGCGGATGAAGAGACGTGGCCAGTTGCGCCTGGCTTGGTCCCAGTTGGGGGTTGATCAATAATTCAGGGAACAAATGACCAAACGACCATGACCAGTGACCCGGTTCCCTACCTGCAATCCCTACCGGCGCTGCGTGGGGAACCCGGGAACACGCTGTTTTCAGTTTTAGCGCCCCCAAATGACCTCAGGCAACTGTTCCCGTTTAGTGGGACATACCATCTTTTTTTGTGGTTTCCCTGATGGTCATGTAAGGGATCACCCCCCAGTTAACACAAGGGTGCCCATTGAGTGCCCCTTGTCCTTGACAACGTTGCAAACCATGGCTCAAGAAGGTCCTGTTTTGGAGATGGCAACATTTATGCCGTTCTTGTAGAGGGTCGAGACACACAAATGATTAGAAACCTATTCTTCGCCCCCGCGGCTCCTTGAAAGAATGCAACTTCGCCCTTGAAGCCGGGACCTTTCCCACCAGACCAAAAGGGCGTCATCCTACTCAGGTGCATCAGATACTCACTTCCTGAGCTCCTGGACTTGAACATGTCTGGGAAGTCCCTTTGAGTGGCAAACAAGAAGGCCTGGACTTTTTTTTGAGCCATCGACTCAGGAAGTGAGCTCATGGTTGAAGCCCTGCCATCCATTTCCTCTGGGTGAATTATAACGACCTCACACGACCTCACCCCCAAATGGTGGTTTATGTGGGGAACAGCCCCCCAACCACTTTATTTCAGGTTGGTGAAATCTTATAATTCACCCGGCCATTTCCCGATTTTGCCTCGAGGTGCAAGAGGCCGTGGACAGCGCCTTGAAGTGGTTCGAGGAGAACTCGCAGGCGGAGTTGCGCGGCTTCGTGGCTGGCTTGCTGCTCCACTTGCTGGTTCCATAGGGAATGAGAAACGGAGTGACCCCCCCCAAAAAGAAATCCACCCGATTTGGTTGGCTTGAGGTTGTTCCAACCAAAACCGGCTCATTCAACCAGCACCAGATCATTCCCCAGCCATCGAGCACCAACTTTTGGATCCAAAGAATTAGCTGTGGGTCAAAATCAACGGGATCCCATTCTGGGGATCCCATTAATTCGCCACCCACTTTAGAACCGATTTTAGCGATGATTGAATTGGATGTTCACCGGGGGTACGATTTGGATTTTGACCCATGGCCAATTGGATGTTCAGCGGCAGGCTGATGCCGGGGAGCATGAGGCGAAGCAGAAGGAGCTGGAGGCGCAACGCGCCGAAGTGGTCGCCCTGTTTTCGCCTGGCCATTCGTTTTTGTTTGGGGGGAAAAGAACGAGCGAATATGGGTGTGGCTCAAAATTCAAGAGCTACGCAGGTGTTGGTCTTCGTTTCCATTTGTTTCGGGGCCATTTTGGGTACATCCTTTTGAGCCACGGCCATATGTCCAGCAGTGCAAAACAGGTTGCCTTTTTTTAACCAGGGGAGGAAAAAAAGGAACACATATTCGAAATGGCAAATGGAAGCAATTCGACCCAATGAGCCGAGCCCATCTCCTGGGTACCATAATCTCCCCTCTTCAGCATGGCATCAATGAAACAAGCCAGTGGCTCAGCTCGCCAAATCTGCACCCGCTGTGTTGAAACAGAAAGGTGGACGTCGTTTGTAGATTCCAAACAGTCTTCCCTTTCTGGGTCCTTTTTGTTGGCACTCTTTTAGTACGCTGGCGATTGGGGCTTGGGATTTTTCAGGGGCGTTGGGGGGTGCCAGAGGGGTATCTGGGGGGGAGAAATGGGGAAACCGGAACGTTTGAAGGGTACAGGCCAGCTTGAGCAGCATTACTTGCGAGGTTTGTGGGTGTTGTGTGCTGCTTCACTGATTGGTGCCTTGCCAGCCGCTGAACTTTGCGTTGCTGCAACCTGTTGTCGCAGATTGGCGAACATTTCCCACAACGCTTTCGTCATGATGGCTTTCAAAGACCATGGCCGCCCCATCCGAAGACCATGCAGTCCACGCCACAGCTAGTTGTCAGAATGCCGGCTGACGGACTGGAGCCTTTGTGTCCTGGCCGCCCGGCCCAGGGAGTCGTGAATCCCATCATGGTGAGGAGAAGCCGAAGGGCGGGGCATCCGCGGCATCCGGCCTGCAGGGTTTTGAAAGGCCAAAGCTTGACGCGAATTCGACCCCCCGCGACAACTCTTGGCGGAGGAAAAGTGAAGGGAACCCAAAAAGGCATAAAGTGTCTCCCTCTTCTTCTTAGGATTCCCCTTTTGTTGTGCAGCGTGGGTTGCAGCTGGGTGTCGATCAATCAAGGGTCGTGCATCCGAATGATGCGCCAATGGAGACCAATATTTGACGAATGGTTCGCGGATGTCAAGACCCGTGGAAAGGCACAAGTGCGGCACAAGCAATTGCCCATGTGACATGACTGTGAAGAGCTGTGAACACGTAAAGTTTGAACAGCATTTCGACATCTGGAAAAGACGCACGAACGACGAACATGTGAGGTTAGTGCCTTGGCCTAGATGAGTATCTTCTGATTGGCATGGAAATGCAAACCTCGTCGAAACTGAGCCAGGTCCGATCACGACCCACATACCCGGCAGGCAATGAATGTTCTTCGCTTCTTTGGATGTGGTGTAAAATGTGAGTTCCCTGAAGAACCATCCCCAGGTCAGGGTGCAAGAAGCCTGGCCTGTTGGTTTGACGATCAGTATTGCTTTCGCGTGGCTGCCAGTTTTTGTGTAGCCCCGGCAGGATCTATGGAGAGAAGGGCGGCGAGGCGCAGGCAGAAAGTTGCCTGCGCGCGGGATGTCGTTTAAAGACATACCCACCAAGAAACCTGGAATGGCACCTGGTCCCTTCTTGAGAGACCCGCCCTTTGCCCGCGGTCTGTGCATCTTCATGTTTGATGGGAGCGTTGAGAGCTGACCAAGAGGGGTCCAACTCTTACAGCCGTCAGCCGGACCTGGCCCATCTGTCATTAGTACTTTCAACGTCACATGCGCAGGGCTGGCCGGTGCTTCACTGTGACACTTTAACTCTTGCTTTGCGAAGCCAAGTGTATCCCATGCTTCGTAGGGTTGGCCAGCGCTCCCGATTCCCCACCTTTGTTGATGTGTTGAAACTTGCCGGAGCAAATCAACACCCTCGCGCGCCAGCTTCGCCCCGGACTGGGATCCGAAGTTCCATCTGCTGACCATTTCATTTATGAGCATGATATGGAGTAAACTACTTGATGACTTGTTTCTAGGGGTTGATTCCTTTTCCATTCTTTTCAACCATCGTTCTTGTCAAAAGGAGGTTTCTAGAAAGAAGGATCCCTTTGCTGGAAAGAATGGGGAAGGTACCCCTGGACTCTTGTCATGGCCACTACACCCTCTGCCGGTTGCCGTCAGGACGCCGAGGGCAGCTAGGTCCAGGACAAGAGGCCTCGCCGATGGCTTTGGCTACAAGAAAAACCGGAGGAGCACGTCTGGCCGCTGGCTTTCCATTTGCCGAAATGGCTATGAATTTTAATAAGGAGCCCTTTAGTGGACATCATTTAGGTGGAGATTCATGTCCACCAATCACTTTTCAGGTGGTTCCCTATTAAAATTCATGGCCAAATGTTTTTTTTTTTTCTCCGCTGTTGGTTCTAAAGGCGATCGATTTCACGGCTGGACACCTGTTCTCTCTCATTCTTCCGGGTGAAACGCACATGGAGTTTTTTCGCCAACAGCTGACAGCTTTGGGGTCTCAGCCCAGATAGGCTCCGGGGTGGTCCGGGGCGGCCCTGAGGTAAGGTTCCACTAGGGTTCCACCAGGGTTCCACCAGGGTTCCACCAGGGTTCCACGAGAATTCCACGAGAATTCCACGAGGTTCTGCGAGGGCTGCGGGGTGGTGTGAGGACGAAAAGGAGCACCGCATGCTGTTGGGGATATCACCTGAGCTTATTTTTTTGCAATGTTTGCTGCCGAAGGGCCAGCCACCGCTTCCAACCCTAGCCACGCCAGGTGTGGAGTGAGCACGGGAGTAATCTGCGATGTGCATCAATGGCCCTCAGGAGCGAATTTGTTTGGGTATCCCAGGCTGAACTGCAGGAGCGAAAGACGTGCCATGCGACTTTGGCCAAAATAGGTACTGTGAAGGATAACGTGAATCGCTGGGCCATGCTAGGCTGGGTGGAGCAAAATATGGTTTAAACACCACCTTTACAAGGGACGAATCATCATAACCAGTGGTTTAAACATGTTTGAACCAATGGGTGGCCCCACCCTAATGCTAGGCTTATCAAAGAGGGTCAGGTATCTGTGTGGATGCGTCCATTTTGGCTGCGGGCCAACTGTTTGCGCCTGGCAAGAGGCGAGCCTTTTATAGGAGGGTCGCCCGTCGCGCCGTTAGGTGGCTTACTGGCTTCCAGTCGTCAGGGACCTTCCTGATGCAGCTAACATGCGTGACTAGCTGACGGGGGCATTTTATGGAGTTCTTTGACCTGGTTTCAACTCCAACACTGAAGACTGGACGGTGAAGGCAAATGTTGTACAACTCTGACAGGAAGGTCCATTGGCGATACAGGAGTTATGACACCCTTCAATTCAGAAGGGCGTAAGCGCCTCCTTTGCTGTGTTGCGTCGCCGCACGTTGAAACACACACTATTTGACATGCAAAGAGGACCATGATTCTATTTGGCGCCCCTTCGGCACTTGAAAGAGCCGCAGTAGCCGCAGCCTGTCATAACGACATTGGCTGAACGTCGGATTTGCTAGACCAAGTTAGAGCAACGCCATCGAGAACTTGACTTTCGAAGCCCCGGCTGGAGCCACATCAAACTTTCCAGTTTCCCATACTGCTGTGCATTTCTCAACGGAAGGTGCTCCTGTAGGTTTAGTAGGTTTGTGAGTCAACACAGCGGAGGGGAGCAGCCCGCAAAGACCAATTCTCTCGGGTGGTTGCCACCCCAAAGTACAGCGCCCATAGGCAAAACCAGGCTGCTGGCGCGGGCGCGAAAGGACCACGGGGTTTCCTTGGAAGGTGGATGTGCCTAGGGCAGGGCGAGGGAGCGCAGAGAAAATGTTTTCGTGCGTCTGGCAACGCAAGCGCTTCTTCCAAAGCAGCAAACGTGACACACCGCACACAAAGCGGCAGCTTGATGCCCAATTTTGCAGGGGACACAGACACACACACACACAACATGGTCAACCCCGAAAGGTTCGATTTGTCTGCCAGATCACTGAACAACTGGGACAATGCAGGAAGTTCGGGATGCAATGAACAAAATCCCCCCCCCCCCCCCGGATCTTTGGCTCAAGCCAATGCTAGCCAATCCATGGAGATACCAAGACCCAGACGATTTCAGATATGTTTTGCGCAATGCGACATGCATGAAAGCTTGGCAGCCGGAGAATCACAGGTGTGCAGAACGTTCGCAAGATATAGGGCTCCATGTGTGAGTTCTGTTCCAAGTCCGAAATCCGCCAATAACATGGCTGCGGCAGAAGTCAGGCAGACCAGCTTTGCGGCTTGGGGCAGGGGCACAACTCGGCCTTGGGCTTGTAGGATGAGTGGGGCTGCCGGGAATCTTAATTTTTGATGTGGCAAACTGGTTGACCTGCCAGCATTTCAGCTCAGACAGATTAGTTGTTGATCCTCCGCGCAATGGCCGCTCGATTTCTCGTGTTGCTCGCAGGAGCGTTGGCTCATGAGCATGGCCACCACGATCACGATCACAGCTGCATGGAAAAGAATACCTCCATGGTGCCTTACCCATGCAACACCACCACCTGCGACGGTTACATCGCCTACGGCCATGAAACCTGCACATCCAGCATGAAGTGTCCCGCAGTCGTGATCATTCAGGACTGGAATGGAATGAACGACTATGAGAAGGAGCGTGCTCGCATGCTGGCAGACATGGGCTATGTTGCCTTTGCTGCAGACATCTATGGCAGAGGCACTCCAGTTGAGGACATGTCCGACTGGGCCGCAGCTGCCGGCATGCACAGAGGCAACCCGGATCTCTATATGTCCAAGATCAACGCAGCACTGGACCAAGTCAAATCGTACGATTTTGTGGACACTTCCAAGATTGCTGTGATTGGCTACTGCTTTGGTGGCACGGGCGTGGTGAACATGGCCATTCTCGGGGCAGACGTCTTGGGTGTGGTTGGCTATCACTCCGCTATCAGTTCAAGTGCCCGTGTCATGCGAGGCAACAGCACCACCCCAGTGACAGCAAAGGTGTTGCTGCACTCTGGCGTTGATGATGATGCCGCCACCGACGTCGCCATATTGGAGGAGGAGTTGGAGGCGGCTGGCGCGACCTACGAGATCGTGCGATATGGCGCGGACATCTTCCACAGCTTCACCGAGTGGAGTGCCAACTCTCCTGGGCAGGCCATGTACAGCCATCGCGCTGACTACAGGTCCTGGGAAAGCACCAAGCTGTTTCTCCACGAGCTGTTCATGGGGCTGCCGGCAGCAGCACGCGGGCCGGAGAGTGGCTCCCTTGACACGTCCATGGCCAATTACACCTGCAACACCACAACTTGTGATGGCTATGTGGCATACAACAGCAGCCACTGCACATCCAGCATGAAGTGTCCGGCAGTCGTGATCATTCAGGACTGGAATGGAATGAACGACTATGAGAAGGAGCGTGCTCGCATGCTGGCAGACATGGGCTATGTTGCCTTTGCTGCAGACATCTATGGCAGAGGCACTCCAGTTGAGGACATGTCCGACTGGGCCGCAGCTGCCGGCATGCACAGAGGCAACCCGGATCTCTATATGTCCAAGATCAACGCAGCACTGGACCAAGTCAAATCGTACGATTTTGTGGACACTTCCAAGATTGCTGTGATTGGCTACTGCTTTGGTGGCACGGGCGTGGTGAACATGGCCATTCTCGGGGCAGACGTCTTGGGTGTGGTTGGCTATCACTCCGCTATCAGTTCAAGTGCCCGTGTCATGCGAGGCAACAGCACCACCCCAGTGACAGCAAAGGTGTTGCTGCACTCTGGCGTTGATGATGATGCCGCCACCGACGTCGCCATGTTGGAAGAGGAGATGGAGGCGGCTGGCGCGACCTACGAGATCGTGCGATATGGCGCGGACATCTTCCACAGCTTCACCGAGTGGAGTGCCAACTCTCCTGGGCAGGCCATGTACAGCCATCGCGCTGACTACAGGTCCTGGGAAAGCACCAAGCTGTTTCTCCACGAGCTGTTCATGGGGCTGCCGGCAGCAGCACGCGGGCCGGAGTGCAGCTTGGCGGCACGTGTATGACGGCATGTGCAGACATGTGCGGTTTGGCTGCCACGAATGTTCTGAGCGTGGGTTAGACCCTTCGAACGTGTTCAGGGCCCCTTTTGGCTTTTTTGTTGCCTGGTGTTGGCCAATCGCCGTGTTTTTGAGGCTGTTCTTGCTACAAGTGAGTTCATGACTAGGATCACATGGCGTTTGAAGAGAAGGTCTCCGTGCATTCAGGACAGTGCACAGGTTCTGATCAAACGGATCACCCATACATCATTTGATCGTGTATTGCTGGTTTGGGAAAGGCAAGGGGCGCCCAAATGGGGTGGGCGCTCTCTCAATGTTGCCATGTCCTTTTGAGGAACACGAAATATGAAAATCAGTCTGCGTTGATACCACTGTGCGAACTTGAAGCACGGCCGCAAAGACCAGGTTAGTCGTTCCGGTATTTGTGAAGCCCATTGGTGGAAGTCTTGCAAGTGAAGAGTGGAGAGCACACAACATGAGACCCACATGCCAAAGGATTGCCTTCCTAGGATGAATGCTGCTAGGTCCTACTTGGCTATACTATATCAGTTGACTTCATGTTTGGTAGCAAAACCAGAGGTTTTGACAGAGTCGGTCCTGCAAGATGCGTGCTATTGCCCGTCTTACATCGCATGCGAGGTGTTTCCGAAGATGGATACCTCCTCTTTTTCATGCGAGAGTGTGTTTCCTTGCTTGCATTGCATTGCATTGCATTGCATTGCATTGCATTGCATTGCATTGGTTGCTTGCTCACTTGCTTGCTTGCTTAACTGCTTGCCTGTCTGCCTGCGTGCCTGCCTGGCTGGCTGGCTGCCGAGCTTGCTGGTGTGTGTGTGTGTCTGTATGTGTGGTTGTGGTTTTCATCATTCGTTTGTTTTCTTTGTTCCTTCTTAGTTCCTTCCTTCCTTTTTACGTATTCACGTGGCCTTGCCTTTGTTTCTTTTTCCAGCTTACCTATTTCAGTTGTCCAGTCGCGTTTTGTACTTTTTGAGCTCTCTCTCTCTCCCTCTCTCTCTCTCTCTCTCTCTCTCTCTCTGTCTCTCTCTCTCTCTCTCTCTTTCTTTCTGCCTCAGGCGAGCCTATGACCACCACCAGAGCATCTTGCCAGCAGAAGATGTGTTGGCAGGGTTGGATCGCAGGAACATTTCCAACAGACATTCAACCTTGACCCTCCACATTCCAAGTTAGTTTGCGGGCAACTTGGAATGCATAGCACATCTGCTTTCTTCTCTGTGGGGCTCAAAGCATGCCGACCAGGTCTTAGCTAGGGCTCTGCATGTGAACGTGAACAAGGTGTGTCATGGGTTATGATCTCCACACCGAGGCCCTTTTAGGACCCCGTTGTCATCTAGCCTTGCAATGCGATCTCTTGCGGACAGGCTATGGGCTGCAAGTGTTTGCCGTTTTGGGATTTCACCAGCGCCAAACTTGAACGCGCCTGTGGACGTGCGGTCAAAGGTTTCATCCATGGTCGTTTTGTAGCGCGATTGTGTAGTGGCTTGGCCTTGTGAACAATAGCCGCGAAAGATCGGGGTGTACAAACTGCCGCCACGCACATTTGCTTGGCTGCTGGGGTTCACCCAGATCCTTTTCATCTTTTTCCCTTCAATGCATTCCCGGGCTTGACGTCCCAGATGGCAACCACTTGGTATAGTGGAAAGTGTGATCATCAGAGCTGGGCATCTTGCGGCATAGACAAATTGCACGGCCTTTCCTTTAAATCGGGGCAGTTTGATTCATAGGAGAACAACACCAAGTGCACGTTTGGCACGGTTTGACCGCATGTTTTTGTTGCTGGAAAGGCCGTGTGGCCCCCGCTTGTTTTGATGCCAAAACCTTCCCAAAACCCGGTCAATCAGCTTCCCTCTAATTGGTGGTTTGGATTGGTGGTTGGGTGGTTACGGAGGGGTTTCCCACTTACCCTCTACAAGAACCAGGGGTAATTCAATCCAATCCAATATATTTTTTTCAAGCTGGGAAGTTCCCGTGTCCTTTGTTACCCGGTGGCACCCATTTTTTCCTTTTTTTCGGGAAGGTTCCCCTTTAAACTCCACCAGCCAAGAAGATCGGAGGCCGATTCCTTTCTTCCATGGGGTTTCCACTGGGCACCGGAGGAAGTTCGGTGACTTCGGGCCGCGTCGTACGACGCGGCACTGCCGTTTTGATCCGAGGAGACGCAGCAGGCCAGCTCCGCGGCCCGCGCGTGCTTGAGCCTCGGCCTGGCGCTGGCCCTGAAGGCAACCAAATGGCCGACCGGCCGATCGGATGGCCAGAGGGCCCAACACACGGCGAGCGACAAAGTTCGGCCGTTATCACTACCCCCCCCACCAATTAACATGGAGCCTGACAAGGGGTCCCTTTATGTTACTTGGTCGGAGGGTACTGGATGTGTTTTATGTTTTTTTGTGTTTTTCCCCAAGGGGCTTAAGCAAGTGGAAGACTTGGGTCAAGGTTTAGGGCCATGTGATTTGGCCGTGGTTGTCAACAATAGTTGGTCACCCCAAAATGGCTTTGGTAAACGGAGCCAAGGATGAAAAACCAGCAGTCCGTATTCTGATGGTTTCGTTTTGACCCATACCCGTTTCTGAGGGGGTGGCAAAAGCGCGGTGCTTGTTTTTGGTCAACAAAGCTCGAGTGGCGTCGGCACTTTGAAATGTTTGAAGCATGGAGTGTATCACTGCTGCAAAGGGACCCTCCTCATGTCATTCGCAGTTGATAGTTGAGAGTGTTTGTGGGTCCAACGAATTTTGGCAGGGCGGTTTGCTCTGATCTTGGACTTCTTCCTGGACTTCTACGGATCTCGCGATCCTGTGAAGGAAGCAGGCCACTGGCCTGCCACTTTTTCCTGTACAAGTGTCCCTGCACATTCTGTACTCGGCGTAATGACTCTTCATTTACGCTCAACATTCTGGCAGAACCTGCCTGCCAAACTTTTCGCGGAGCAGTCCGCACCTTTCTGGGGTCCTGTGCCAACGTTTACCGCCGGGAACCTTACAAGTGGCAAGCTGCCAAGCAGCGCGCCAGAAGACCCAGCTGGGAGTGCTTCAAGGACCGAGAGATGCAAAGATTGCGAACTCTGCAGATGCGGGAAGAAAAGATGTGTTTTGCCTCAACCATCCAAAGCATGAGGCTGTTCAACAGCAGAAATGGCCCAGTTTGCAGGCCCCTTGGCTCTCAAGATTGCAGGCATTCCTGTATTGTAGTGTAAGGGTTTGCTCCATGATTTGCTTTTTGTTCCATATTGGCTGACCTGTGTGTACATAGATCAAGGTCTGTGTTATTTCACCTTCAGGCACCATTGCTCGCTCGATTGTTCGTTGTTCGATCCCTGAGCTGTTTGAATTTAGACCCGACAGAGTTTGGCAAGAAGGATTCACCTGACAGTTTTAGGCGGAAACAAACACCGTTTGGGTGTGGCTCAAAATTAAACAAGAGGGGCAAACCGCAGGTTTTGGTCCATGTTTCCACATACCAGGGTTCCATTGTAGTGCCGGTTTTTTGAGCCACCGCCGTTTCCGCTGTGCTTGACTAGGAGTCTCGCCAGCAGGTCATGTGCGAATCCTTGGTTTCATGAAGCCCTCGTCTTTGGGCTCGGTATCCGGTTGGTGTCCGAAGTTCTCGTCTTTGGGATCACCTTGGGAGTCCAGGACTCCTTCATTTTCACCGGTTCCTTTAAACATGGAATTCGGGGAGGGATTTTGACTGGAGATCTCCGTAAATTCCATTTCTGGTAGCCCATTTTCCCGTTTATGGGGAAGAGAAATGGGATTGGGGACCCTCCACCCCCTTCCCCCTGAAGATCAGACGCTGGTTTCGATCAGAACGTTGCAATGTTGCACCCAGTGTCAGTGATCCTCTTGCAGCAAGTGAGGCGAGCTTGAGAGTTCAGACACCTGGAAGTTTTTTTCCGGCTGCATGTTGGTTGGTGCCGTGTCTCCCTTCAAATTTCAAATGTCCTACAATTTGGTTGCAGCCCCTTCGTACTTGGATGTCATTCTGGAGAAACTTTGGTGGCAAGCCCCCCAACAGACAACACGATTATCTTCGTTTGTTAACATGGTAACATGCCTTCCAAGCTTAGACTTGAGCTTCATACTTTGCTCCCAAAAACGTCCTTCCAGAATTGCGTCTAGTGACTAGTGCAGGGAAAGCATCGTCCTTGCACTGCCCAAAGCATGTTTGCAAGAGGCCCTATCCAAACCAGCTGGATCCGAATGGTAGGTTTCATGGCGTTCCAGCTGAAGGACCCCTTGTTATCACTCTCTGGCTAGGCCTTGCCTACGGGAATTGGTTCAGAGTCACTCGAGTCACCACCAAATAAAACCCCAAGGCCTTCTGCCCGTTTTCTCTACCCTCCCTCCAAACAGAGCAGCTGTGACACCTGGAAGCTGGTCTTCCTCTTGGCATCTCGCGTCAGTTGCTGGGAGGGTACCGGTTCTCCGAACTCCCAGCCGAAGGAGACCGATCCCTCCAACGGAACCTCCGCCGAGGCGGCCCTGAGGCGGCCTGAAGCTGAGGCTGTCGGGACTCGGAGCTGCCTTCAGGACGGGGAGGGCGCCCTGTGGCCCGGTGCGCTCGGGATCTCCGTATCTTCTTGAGGTGCATTGGCGAGTTTTTTGCGGGTGGTACAACCAAGCCGCTGGTATCTAATTGTTTACCCTCGGCTTCTCATGTTTGTTTGCTTGTTTTGCGTGAACTCGAGGCCTTGGAAAGAGGGTACAAACTTCACCATTCGGCGGGCCCGATATTTTTTATATTTGGGCAAGCCCCACTTACGCGCAAGCACGTGCCGCTGAAGCAACGGCCAGCCAGTGTCAGGCACTTGAAGACCCTGCTACAACAGGGCCTTTAACTTTTGGGGTTCTTTGACACTTTGCTTGAACCCTGACTAATCAGTGCATGCCATGAAGAACCCTTTGAACCAAGAAGTATATTGTAACCAATCAAGGAATGGCAACCAATCAAGCTGACATCGATTCAACAACCAGACAAGCCTTCAACTGCTGACTTTCTTTTTGTCAGTTGCAATTATGATTCTCTTTCTCTCTCTCTCTCTCTGTTCAGTGTTTGTGCATGCGTGTTTGTGTGTGTGTGTGTGTGTGTGTGTGTGTGTGTGTGTGTGTGTGTGTGTGTGTGTGTGTGTGTGTGTGTGTGTGTGTGTGTGTGTGTGTGTGTGTGTGTGTGTGTGTGTGTGTGTGTGTGTGTGTGTGTGTGTGTGTGTGTGTGTGTGTGTGTGTGTGTGTGTGTGTGTGTGTGTGTGTGTGTGTGTGTGTGTGTGTGTGTGTGTGTGTGTGTGTGTGTGTGTGTGTGTGTGTGTGTGTGTGTGTGTGTGTGTCTGTGTCTGTGTCTGTGTCTGTGTCTGTGTCTGTGTCTGTGTCTGTGTCTGTGTCTGTGTCTGTGTCTGTGTCTGTGTCTGTGTCTGTGTCTGTGTCTGTGTCTGTGTCTGTGTCTGTGTCTGTGTCTGTGTCTGTGTCTGTGTCTGTGTCTGTGTCTGTGTCTGTGTCTGTGTCTGTGTCTGTGTCTGTGTCTGTGTCTGTGTCTGTGTCTGTGTCTGTGTCTGTGTCTGTGTCTGTGTCTGTGTCTGTGTCTGTGTATGTGTTTGTCTGTTTGTCTGTGTGTTTGTGTGTTTGTTTGTTTGTGTGTTTGTGTGTTTTGGTGGTTGCATATGTGCCTGCGTGTGCGCAACTCTCACTCTGTTGGGCAGCATGATTGTCAAAGATGCACGCTTCCAACGCAGCAACCTGTTTCCGCATATTCGCGGATGAGGCTGATGAGGGCAGCTCTTTCCACTTGTGGGCATCCAAAGGCCGCTCATAAGGGCACCCCTAATCCCTAAATCCTGTGCAGCTCCGCGCAGTTTTGGCATGGCTTCTTGGCGCATCAGAAAGTTCCCGCGGGTTTTGCCGCTCACTGCTCATAACATTCGCACTTCGTGGGTCAGAAAAATGGGTACCCCAAAGTGGCTTGCCCTGGTAAATGGACATAGGATTCAAAGCTGCGGTCAATATCCTGGTTTAGTTTTGGCCCATACCCATATTGCGCATATTGTCGGGAGTACTGATCTGCCCGCGCGCTTGCCGGCTCAACATTAGCTTCCACGGACCCCGCCCCTGCATTCTGCACGACTGTGAGACCGTGCCTGGCTTGCAGAGAGCGCATTTTCCTGCAAAGTGAGCCCTTGGTGAACGTGGGTTTCCTCCAGATCTGCCAGTTTGAGTCCTTGTCCTCCAAAACCCACCGACTTGAGTTTTCCTAATCTGAGGCAGCATTTGTCCGGGTGTTGCTTGATACCTTCTAAACCATTGCGGCCGCAAGCAAAGTGCAACAACTCCGGGGGGTATCCCCAGGTTGCAAACTCTGCCATAGGGTTTGCTGCCTGTTCCTAGGTATTGGGCCATGGTGTCCTTTTTGGCTGGTTTGCTTAAAAAATGGAGGGCCCTGGTTTAGATTGGGTTTAATCCATTTACCAGATAAACCCATCTATTTTTTCCAAAAGGCCACCAATGTATTGGGCATTCAGGCACTCCTTTTTGCCGCACCCTTTCCTTTGGCCGCCAACTTGCCAGCTGCATCCGACCCAGGTCGCCAGTTCCGAGTTCTCGATGGCCGAGAAACATGCGGTTTCTGAGGCGACGACGAAATGATGCGACTGGGATCAGGTGTGACAGGCCGTAGATTTTGGACATTCCTGGGGAGTGGAGAAGGACAAGTCCTACTTCAAACTGGGAACTACTTGATCTCCCACACTGGTTGAGGCACAAAAAAATGTGAGGAGCACGTGTTGCAATTCCAGCTCCCAGCCCACAAATCCTCGCGGTCACTTTGTGCCAGTGCATTTATACAAATATATATATATATACATACATATACACATATATATATATACATATATATATATATATATGACGTTTTCTGGTTGGTATCGATGTTTCGCGCGTAAGTCGTATATTTTATGCTTACTTGGCAAGCTTCCAGCCATGTTCCTTTTCGCAACAGAGCCAAGCATTGCTTGATTGTTGATGTTTGTTGTTCTCCAGCCTTATCTTGCATCAATTTGCGAGTGACCATTTGTACTGTACCACGGACCGCAGCTCGATGCTTCCCACAGATGCCGCACTGAAGGCCTTCAAACAAGTCGCGACACCACGCGAGAAACAAAAAAGAAGGGCGCAGGAGATGCATGGGATTGCCGATGGCCCCAACAGGAGGAATGTGGAAAAGCATTGTAGAGCCCGTGTGGTGGCCAAAGCATCACAGAACTTGGAGCGTCTTCGCCCGCTGTGGCGAGCTTTTTTGCGGATGGCCTCCTGCAGCATGCCTCCGACGAACTGCATCCGCCCCGAACTCCCGTGCGAAATGAGAGGACAGCGAAAGCCAAGGTTGGCAGAGAATTCGCTCTCTCCACTCTTTGACTTGGGCCTTCCAGAAAGGCCGGCGCATGCGGGCAAGGAAAGGCAGAACAGGACCTTTTTTGGATGCCGAAAGGTTGCAAGTTCGCCAACCTCGATCAGAACATCGTGGCAGGTACTGGCAAGTCATGGGGATCCAGAGCCTGTGATCCAGAGCCTGCTGTTCCTGCTTGATCGGGGCATGTCCATGCAGAGTATTCCTGTCCAGGAGGAAGCCAAAGGAAAGCAATGGGACATGAAAAGCAAACCAAAGGGACACCAAAAAAGAAGCTAAGAGGAAACCAAAGTCAAACAAGGTGGGGGTCATGTTACAGGGTCATGTTCATTGGTAGACAAAGTTTCACTCCCGAGCAACGCATC